CACCAAACTCTATATAATTCAAAGGGAGGGGGGTTGCTTAAAAGCAAACTCCTCATTTCCCCGAAAGGCTTACGCTTTTTTTTCCAAAATAGGAAAAAATGGTAGACACACTTTTGTGGGGGGGGGGGGGGGCAGGGAGGGGGCGGGGCGGGTGCCTGTTGCACTCCAAATTAATGCACATAAAACCAGGTGAAGCATTCATTGGATGGGGAGGACCAGCTCTCTAAAGAAGCAAATGGAACAAACACTAGTTGACCCACGAATATATTCTCTCCTCAAAACAACAAAAGCTGGGGATGGTGGATTCAGGGGGAAGTGGGAGTGATTTGTTTGGGAGGATGGAGCAGGTGTGAGGAATGGGCAGATCTGAATTGTGATAGCTCCTCTCCAGAAGTGCTCACAGTGCAAGCATCATGCTGGGGACATATTCTTGGAGTATCTTTGGGGGAGGCATGCCATTTAGGAAAGAAGTAGGAAGACTGCTTCACCTTATACTTCACTTTTGCTTTGTTTTTTTTTTTGCTTACTAGAGGCCCAGTGCATGGATTTGTCCAGTGCATGGATTCATGCACTGGTGGGTGTCCCTCGGCCTGGCCTGCTCCCTCTCACAATCCATGGCCCCTCGGGAGAAGTCAGAGACCCAGTTTCAGCCTGATCCCTGCAGGCCAGGTCAAGGGACCCCACCAGTGCATGAATCTGTGCACCAGACCTCTAGTATGCATATAAGATTTTTGGTTAATCTCTTCCCACCCTCCCCCCTTCCCCTTTCCTCTGAGATTCATCAGTCTGTTCCATGTTTCCATCCCTATGCATTGAGTGCCTGCCCCCTGGTAGTCAGTGTGCGTCATAGCTACCAGTTGAACAGTCGACCCGTTGCTTAGGTTAATATATATATATGGCATTGTTCTAACTATACCAAATAACACTTGACAATTATTTGGTATTATTTGTCTCAATTTGTAATAGTATCAAATTTGGCCCTAGCTATACCAACTCTCGTGAATGGCTCAGCTCAGCATTCCATCACTATACACAGCCTCTGTTGAAGTAAATATAAATGTCACTAAATTTTCCAAATTTTATGGCACACTTTAAACAGTTTGGGGCATACTAATTGAGAATTTCTGCCTTTAATATTTAAAAATATAAGATTAGTATTCAACTCTCTTTGTTCTGCTTGGATTTCCTTTGGTTCTACTTTGATTAATCTTATTTACCTTAGATTTACATAAAAATGTATCTGAAGTTGATAAAGAAGAAAGATTCCATCCAGTTTAGAAAGTATAAAGGAGAAAATTTAAAGTCCCAATACAGACATAAGATTTGAGAAATTGACAGTTTTACAAAAGGAAATTGTTCTGAATTCTTCAAGATGGTGGTCTCTTGTAAGTAACAATCTAAGCAGGGACATTAGAATGTAACATTCATTATTCTTTGCCTCTAGATACCAACTCATTGGTGAAACTTCTAATCATTGCGCCATCGTAGGCAATACTGTTGCCTGGGAAAATCAAGTACCTGTTTGTAAGAGTGAGTTGAAATCTTTTCTATTACCTTTACCAGTAGAGTCTAAGTTTCCACCTGAATTTATAAAAATTTGAATTGAATTCCTTAGTGCATTCTGTCCTTCAGATAGTTGAAGACAGCACTACTGTCCTCAAAGTACTTGTGGGTTTCCTGGCAACTGTTTAAATTCTTCCTGATCTCGGGATGTGCCTTTTGTAAATCCGGGGACTTAAATACATAAACGCCTCTAAAATGTATTTCTACTTAGTTAATTTGGAATTATGTTGGTTCTACCATCACCAGTATAATAATCATTCTGCTTGGCAAATAAATACAAAATGATAAAGCGATGCTCTCCACGGTTCATGAAGCTGTGGAAGAATCAACGCCCTCATATACGAGGGTCCAACAAACCCTCTTGAAAGGCACCCTGTACTATACGCCTCAAAAGTGGGTACATACAAGACCTACTTCTTAGAATTCACACTTAGGAAATAAACACAGCTTTCTGCAAGGAGTTCACTGTAAACACATCTGTTAGGTTTAATGTAAGGTTTAATCTGAGATGTAAGATTTAATCTGACCAAAGCCAATAAATTGACCAAGACAAGCAGGGTAAGAGTGAAATATCTCGTTTATTGGAAGCTCTTGGGTGAGGTCCCACGGTCTGGGGGTGCAGGCCAGGGGAGTCACACCCGCCTATGCCTGGCAGAGATTTTTTATGCTGCTGTTGGACCAATCAGGTTTATCTGAGGTAGCTGGTGGCGGGTGATTGATGAGCAGGAAGTTGGTGCAGCTGCACCCTGGCCATCTTGAGAAGTCTTCGGTGGTTATTTATTGGCCATCAGCACAACAGGATGCTCTGGTGGGTCCCAGGATGGCAGCTATTGTCCAGCAGGATGTGGCTCGGCAGTTCTGGGTTGTTTTGTCCAACTCAGCTGGTTGGGTCAGGAAAGACCCTATTTTCCCAGCCCCAGACCTTACAGCATCATTGCTGCATTCTTTATAATAGTGAAATGGTTCTGGTCACCTAAATGTACTATTTGTTTCAAAATACGGTTTAGAAAGAATCTGCCAGAAGGAAAGAGAAGTGATAAAAATGACTACATAGGATTTCCTAAGGAACATAAAATAGCCATGCAGCATTAGAAGAAGTCTATCTGTACACTGGAACTTTATTCAGCCATAAAAGAAAAACATCTTGGAGAAGCACTTAGTGACATATAAAGATGTTTATTATATCTATTTGATGTGAAAAAAAATCAGATGACAAACCAGTTTGTATGGCAATAGTTCATTTTATTAAAAGATCATATATCTATGCCTATTTCTATATTTTCATCTCTATCTCTAATTCTGTAACCATTTTTATATTCACACCCTGGTAACTAGTTTTAAGCCTCTTTGGTGAAAGCTGTGGGCGGGGTGGGGGTGGGGGTCCTATACCTTTTGGCTGTGTAGCAGATGCTTCTTCAAGAAGATTCACACTCCCATTTCTTCAAGCTCCTCTGTGTCTGTAAACTGGTTCTTAAGTCTGGGAATTGGCTGACGAAGAACCACACTCTGTCTTACAGTATTGCAAGTCAGACTTCCGGTCACCAGACCTAGATCTTTTCTGCTTATACCAACCTTAGTACACTCTTCTTCTACTTTGATTCTTGAGACTCCATGATCAATTAACTGATGACAAAGGTCTCTGCAGATAAATCATTCTGATTTGTTTCAATTGCCTCTGGCAGTTAAGGGCTGCCACTCAGCCTCTGCCATTCTGAGGTCCTGTCATCCCCCTTGATTTTAGGGAAACTGGTTCAATAGCAACTATTCCCACTGTCATTCTTGGCCTACATAGAGGGCCTACATCAGAGAGTTCTTCAAAGATGCTGAAACTCCTACATGAATTTATTTCTCAAAGCCTTGGGTGAAAGAGGGATCCACCCCCCAAACCCCCATCAGATGGACTTAGTTAAGGAGCCTATTCATGGGTCTTAAAAAATGAATGCCCTCCAGCATTCTCTGAGCCCTGGCCATTGTGATGCCAAGTGGGTTCTTGGCTTCATGCAGGAAGGAATTCAAAACCTGACCCAGACAGAAGAGGTTAAAGTGGAGAAGTGGGTTTTATTGAGCAGACAAGACACACAGGAAAAGCCACTCCACAGACAGAGGGGCGGACGCCCCTCACAAGAGAAGAGAGGCCCCGGCCATCTCTGTATGTTGAGCCTATACCTGTTTGTAGTTTCTATGGAAAATTGCTGGGATGGGGAAACAGAGAGAGGGAAAAGTCGGGATGAGCTTTCACCTTTACAAGGTATATTTTGTGGTCTGTTTCCCTTTTAGGGTTTACTAGTAGGTAAGTGATAAGGTGTGGCTGAGTAGCTAGTCATCAGTCATCAGTCTTTGCAGGAATGTCCTTGGTTCCGGGGGTCCCTCATGGTCTGCTTGCATCTCCGTGTCAGGCAGCACGGAGCAGGCCCCTGGCTTCACTTTGTTTGGCTTTAGTTCATTTATATCGTGTTCATGCCCCTGTCCTATGTGAATAGGATTTCTGCCCCTGAGGTATGTTAGTAAAGCTCTGGTCTTTCACCTTCACTGGGCATGCTCCACACTCAAACTATCACACTGAATTCAGAATCTCACTTCTTTGGGTGCATTTGCATCTCTCACAAGTCATAATATTTAACTCCCCCCCCCTTGCACTCCACCCCCATTCCTGCCTGGAATTGAATCTGGTGAGAGCACTAGAAACCATGTGAGGTGGTAGGGGTAGGTCTTGAGAAGATCATCAAGTGTTACCATTTGAGTTGCCAGATTTAGTAAATAAAAAATATTCTATACCCAGTTAAATTTGAATTTCAGATAAGCAACAAGTATTTTTGCACTATAAATACTAGTATATGCCATGCAGCCCGACCGGTGTTGCTCAGTGGTTAAGAGTTGATCTATGAACCAGGAGGTCAGCATTTGATTCTCAGTTAGGGCATATGCCCGGGTTGCCGGCTCAATCCCCAGTGAGGGAAGTGCAGGAGGAAGCCAATCAATGATTCTCTCTCATCATTGATGTTTCTCTCTCTCCTCCCTTCCTCTCTGAAATAAATAAAAATATATATTTTTTAAAATAAAAAAATATATATGCCATGCAATTCTGAGATATAATTATACTTAGAAATGTTTACTTTTTTCTGAAATTCAAATTTAATGGGACTACAAATACTTTCTCTGGCAGCCCTATTTCAGAAGGGGCCATTAGAGTTCCTTCAGGCAAGAGAGGAGAGGGGGGGAGGAGCTACTTCTCCTAGTGTTATACAGTGGGGCCTTAACTTACGAGTTTAATTTGTTCCGAGACCGAATTCGTTAACGAGCTCTTTAAGGAGCTTGTTAACTCAAATTACTCTGTCAACTCAAAGCAAAAATCTGCCGAGAGACAGCTGGTATCTCAAAAAACTCGTTAGTCAGGACACTCGTAAGTCAAGGCCCCACTGTACAGGCAAAGTAAGTCTGGGAAATCTGGTTCCAATTAGCCTGGGTGATACTGTACAAAACCACTAGGTAAATAAAACTTTTATTTTCCTCTCTCCCCCTTCCCCCACCTCCCTCCTGGCCCACCTCTATCCCCCTTTGTAGCTTTCTCTGTCTTCTTAAATTATTATTGGTAATTTATGTTTTCATTGATATCATTTAGGTTTTCAAAATGTTTAACATACAGTTGTCTACAGTTTCATAAATATTCTCATGTATATGTAAATATGTTCAAACTAGAGACCTGGTGCATGAAATTCATGCACAGGAAGGAGGGGGGTGTCCCTCAGCCTGGCCTGCACCCTCTCCAATCTGGGACCCCATGAGGGATGTCCAACTGCCTCTTGCAATCCGGGACCGCTGGCTCCTAACTGCTTGCTTGCCTACCTGCCTGCCTGCCTGCCTGATCGCCCCTAACCGCCTCTGCCTCAGCCCTGCACCCGGAACTCTGGATTCCCTCCTCCGGCTGGCCACAGGCACCTGGATTCCGAGCCTGCTTCACCTGGGCCATCCACAGCTGCAGGGGGCTGGGGGTGGTGGCTTTCCCAGGCTGTAGCCGCAGGCACCCTGGACTGCAGGGTGGGCAGCTTCTCCCTCTCTTGGGCCACAGCTGCAGCTGCTGGCACCTGGGACCACAGGGCAAGCAGCTTCTCCCTCTCCCGGGCTGCAGCCACAGCCACTGGTGCCCCCAGGCAGGTGGCTTCGCCTGGGCACGGCTTTGTCAGGAAGGATGTCCGGATGGTCGTCCAGAAGATGTCTGGTCTAATTAGCATATTATCCTTTTATTAGTATAGATTCTATTTCTTACTGCTGCATATCTGTGTTGTCTCTCCTTATACTTTTTTAAATTGGTTTTTTAAACTCTATTGAGAGTATTACAGATCTCCCCCATTTCACCCCCTTACCCCCTCTTCCCCTGGTTCCTGCCCCACCCCATCCCAGGCCCTCACCACCCTATTGTCTGTGTCCATAGGTAATGCATATATGCATATAAGATCTTTGGTTAACCCCTTCACCCCCCTGCACCCCCCTTTCCTCTGAGATTCCTCAGTCTGTTCCATGTTCTCATGCCTCTGATTCTATTTTTTTCATCAGTTTATTTTGTTCATTAGATTTCTTGTTCGTTTATTTTGATTTTTAGATTTAACTGTTAATAGATATGTATTCGTTGCCTTTTATTGTTCATATTTTTAATCTTTTTTTCTTTTCCCTTTTCTTCTTCCGCTCCTTAAAGAATACCCTTCAACATTTCATGTAATACTGGTTTGGTGGTGATTAACTCCTTTAGCTTTTTCTCCTTATACATTTTTTTTATTAAGTGTATTTTGATTTTATTTTTTTTAAAGCTATACTGGTCTCATTTATAAAAAAAATGAAAAATTAGAAGGCAGTTGGTTAAATAGGGGGAAAACTGTGTAAACTATGATATTATATAATCAAAGAGTTATTTGTACTAAAAAGAATGTGAATTGTATTACTATACGGATATGTTCATAGGAAATAATCTAAGTAGGAAAAGAAGAATTATGCTTTTTATTATGTACATCTAAATTACAACTTTGGAAAACCTAATCTACATGTTAGCAAGGATTAAGAGCAAATAACGAGTGTAAAAATGGTAACAGTTTAGTGACATTGCATTGCTCTCAGTAGTTATTTCAATTCACTATCATTTAAATGGCGTTTCCTTTTCCCAGTTATTCAATGTAAGACACCACCAACCATCACCAACGGATATTTCATTAGCTACAGCGGAGACGATTTTCCATACGGAATAGTGGTGACCTATCACTGCAATGACAGAAAAGGAAGGGAAAAGTTTGAACTCGTGGGCGAGAAGTCAATACATTGCACCAGCAAAGATCAAGTGGGCCTCTGGAGCGGCCCTGCCCCTCAGTGCATCGTACCTAATAAATGCACGCCTCCGCACGTTGAAAATGGAATAAGGGAGTCTGAGAACAGAAGCTTGTTCTCCTTAAATGACATCGTGAGCTTTAGGTGTCAGCCTGGCTTTGTCATGAAAGGCCCCTCCAGTGTGCGCTGCCAGGCCCAAAACAGATGGGAGCCCGAGTTGCCCAGCTGCTCCCCGGGTGAGTCTGACTAAAGCTTCGAGGGGGCCTGCAGGTGACAGGAGCTGTGGGAGGCCCCCCAGATTAGTGTTTGTTCTGGGAGGGAGATGTGTGGTGAGCAGGGTGAGTACATTTTCTAGGGGTGAAACATGAATCTAAGAAGATGTGTATGTATATGTGCGCGTGCATGTGTGTGTGTTCAAGTTGAGAAACAGAGCAAAATCTGGGCACAGAATATGAAGTTCCCTTAGGATTCTTAGAGAGGCTAGATAATGTCCAAGATTAAACAGATACTAACTTGCAAACTGAAGGCTGAAACCCAAATCTGCCTGACTCTAGAGCCAGGGAAGTCAAAACCACTCTAGATTGTTCAAGGAGTGGGGGATTTAGAGCAGATAACAGCATAGAGGGTATTGGAAGGGCGGGAAGAGCAAAAGGAGAAGGGCTGTTTGCAGAGCACAGGAATCTGTTGTTGGCTCCAGACTGAAGAACCCATGCCCACACTCGCTGCTGAAACACACTGAGCAGCTCTCCCCTCCAATGCTGCCCCTGTGACCAGGATGCAGCTGAGATCCCTGGAGCCAAAGCCATTATCGCTAGAAATTAAGTCGCTACTGCTACATAAGAGCCATCAACACTGCTACTTCCTGAGCCTCCTCTAGAAGACGAATGGCTTTTATCATTTTCCCACCTTTGAATTTGTCATATCTTCCACCAGTTGACAGAGTCTAACCAGAACTCAGCTGTCAAGGGAGATAAGCCATTATAGTTTGCAGGCTTCGGGCCCCAACAGTCAAAGGAGAATGCAGAGGTGTGAGGCTGGGAGTTCACAGACATTGAGTCCACATAGCACTTAAATATCACCTCCCTGTGCAATTGTTAATCCAGGAGGCAGAGGGGCAGTGAGCCCTGAAAATGGGTTTTTAGAGCCTCAGAGTATTGTCAAAGTCCTTAAGGGAGTCATTACTCTAGTCCAGTGGTTCTCAACCTTCCTCATGCTGCGACCCCTTAATACAGTTCCTCATGTTGTGGTGACCCCCAACCATAAAATTATTTTCGTTGCTACTCCATAACTGTAATTTTGCTACTGTTATGAATCGTCATGTAAATATCTGATATGCAGAATGTATTTTCATTGTTACAGATTGAACATAATTAAAGCATAGTGATTAATCACAAAAATAATATGTAGTTATATATGTGTTTTCCGATGGTCTTAGGCGACCCCTGTGAAAGGGCCCATCGACCCCCAAAGGGGTCATGACCCACAGGTTGAGAACCACTGGCCTAACAAGTGGACTATAAATTGGTGATGCTTTTCTAGAAAGTAGTATGAAAATATTAAAAAATCCTTCAATCTTAACAACTGTATCTGGGTAACCAGTAATGGGAATCATTCTAGAAGGGAACTGTCTGCAGCGTAATCTTAGGTGAGGATTTTAGATGGAAAACAGTGAACTGAGGATATGTCAGTGCTAGTACAGCTCTGTGTTGAATCAGGTCTGTGGCCTCTCTCTCTCATATTACCATTCACAAAATGAGGGTGTTAGTCTACGAGGTTTTTCAAAAATATGTAGACTTATAGTTAGGATTCTGTTGGCCAATTTACCACTGAGGAAAGGTGCTTTTCACACTATTAACAGCACTGGTTCTCTTTCCTCAGGATGTCAGCGGCCTCCAGAAATCCTGCATGGCCAGCACAGCCCCAGCGACAAGGACAGCTTTTCCCCTGGGCAGGAGGTGCTCTACAGCTGTGAGCCCGGCTATGACCTCCGAGGGGCCGCCTCTCTGCGCTGTACGCCCCAGGGAGACTGGAGCCCGGCCGCCCCCACATGCGCAGGTGCCTACACTCACTCTCATCCTTTCTGCAGATGAATGTCTTTGCACCTCACATGGTGGTCTTACTCCCCATTTATTTTTCTGTAGTGAAATCATGTGCTGCCTTCCGGGACCGACTTCCTAATGGCCGTGTGCTCTTTCCACTTAACTTCGAGCTTGGAGCACAAGTGTCCTTCGTTTGTGATGAGGGGTGAGTGTGAGCTTGCCTGGCCCCCTGGACACTATAATTGGAGTTAGAAGTTAACAGAAAGGGAAGGTTTGGTGTGGCTAAAAAAATGAATTCAGGGGATTACATCTTGGAAGTGTGTAAGAAAAGTAAGAGTAAGGAACAAGTGGAAAAAATAGCATGAGGTATGAAGGAAAAATTGGGACATATATGAAATGGCTGGTATAAAGACAAATACAATGACTGGCTATGAATATATATGTGATGCATTGATTGAAAAAATAGTAATATTTTCCAAGCAGAAAAAAAAAGAAGAAGAATTTGGAGAGTTCCAAGAAAAGTTTGATATACAACAAAAAGTTTATTAAAAATAATTAAGAATATTTAAGAATTATTTGGTCATTTTTTAACCATCAAAAGGAAAATTTGTCATAAGAGTAAAAGCACAAGAATGGGTATTTTAATCTAATCACATATCTTCTGGTTAGTCATGTGCTTAGGGCTCTGAAATGGGATCGCGGTGGCTGGTGAATGTTTTAGGTAACGACATTGTTCATGTGAGGCTGGTGCTCTTCCCAATGTGCTCATCTCTGCATGGGAAGGATCAAGTGTGAGCAAAGAAGGACCTGACCTCAGACCCTTGCAAAGAATCCTGGCAGGCACCCAGTGACAGCACCCAATAAGATTTAGGAGCCACTGGGGTCCCACGTGCATTGACCATTGTGGATGGTCGCATACACACTCAAGGGGCCAAAGAGCCGCATGTGGCTCACGAGCCGCAGTTTGCCGACCACTGCCCTAGAGTACTCAGACTTACTCAATAGCCCAATGTGCCTTCTTCACAGCCATCACAGCCATAGAGACAAAAGGACAATCTTTGCGCTCTTTCCAGTTACTCTCTGCTTTTTCCATCCAAACTTGGAACTGTTTTACTCACTTTTCCAGTATCAGAATTAGGAGTCTGTTGCATTAGAAGACTGGGTTTCCCATATGATGAGTACATTTATCAGGTTTATCATGGGAACTAGAAGTCCGGTGCACGAAATTGTGCACTCAGAAGGGAGGGGGTCCTTCAACCCGCATTGTGAGAGGGCACAGGGCAAGCCAAGGGACCCCCACCAGTGCATGATCGGGGCCAGGGAGGGACACAGGAGGTTGGCCAGCCGGGGAGAGACCACAGGAGGGCTCTAGAGCATGCCCAGTCCATCTCGCTCTGTCCCAATCAGTCAGACTGCAGCAGCAAGCTAACCCACCAGTCAGAGCGTCTGCTCCCTGGTGGTCAGTGCATGTCATAGCAAGCGGTTGAGCGGCCTTAGCATATCATTAGCATATTACGCTTTGATTGGTTGAACAGACGACCGGATGACTGGACACTTAGCATATTAGGCTTTTATTATATGGGATGATCAGCTAGAGATTCACTTCTCAGAATCTGGGTCCAGGATCAAGGAGATGGCTGCTATGCTCTGACTGCCTTCTGCATAGGCGACCCCTGTGAAAGGGTCGTTGGACCCCAAAGGGGTCACGATCCACAGGTTGAGAACCGCTGGTCTAGATCAATATGGCCTCCAAACTTCTGCCACCTGTTGGTTTCGGATGCTAAGGTTTTCAGCCGGGCCTCAGAGTTTTGCCAACTGAAACAGCTCACCTGTGCACTACCATTTTCTTCTTCAGATTCCATCTACAAGGCAGCTCTGCCAGCCATTGTGTCTTGGTTGGAATGGAGAGCCTCTGGAATAGCAGTGTCCCTGTGTGTGAACGTGAGTAGAAGGAATAACACTTTTGGACAATTCCTCCCTTAACCTATTTAGTATTTTGACTTATGGCAACCCCAGTAGGGTTCTTCTATTTTCTAGTCTGAATTACTGAGAGATATTTGCTTTTTAAATGGTATTTATTTTTGATCAATTTGTTGTGATGCACGTTATTGTACATCATACGTTTTGGGAACCATTTTCTCTGTCTCTGTTATTTTGAATTCTTTATTCTAGATGATATATCCTGCAGTAGTTGGCCTCTAGACAGGAGAGATTAAATAATGTGAAGCTTTGACAATTTTCTTCCTTTCTTCTTTCCTTCCTTTCCTAATTCTTTCTTTTCTTTTCTTTTTCTAATATCAGGATGTAATCACTCTACATTTTTTCTATCTACTGGATAATATGTAAATATGAAACATGCATTCATTCGAACAACTATTTATTGAGGACATACTATGTGCTTGGTATTTTCCTAAGCACTGGAGTTATAGCAGTGAACAAGATAAGTTAATGCCCTGTCCCCATGTTATTTATACCCCAGTGGGGAGATGGTCAGGAAAAACAATAAACAAGTAAATGTTATGGAAGTGACAGATCAGAGCAGTGAAAGAATGAGGGGAAAGTTGGGAGCAACATAACATGGGGTAAGCAGTTTAAGACGCCTTAAACCAGGGGTTCTCAACCTTCCTAATGCCGCGACCCTTTAATACAGTTCCTCATGTTGTGGTGACCCCCAATTCCATTGTTACAAATTGAACATAATTAAAGCATAGTGGTTAATCACAAATACAACATGTAATTATATATGTGTTTTCTGATGGTCTTAGGCGACCCCTGGGAAAGTGTTGTTCGACCCCCAAAGGGGTTGCGACCCACAGGTTGAGAACTGCTGCCTTAAACTCTCCAAACATGTACTTAAAGAAATTATGTTGAAAGATTCAGAAGTAATAAGCTGATTAAAACATGACTCTCCTGCCCTGACCGGTTTGGCTCAGTGGATAGAGCATCAGCCTGCAGACTGAAAGGTCCCAGGTTCGATTCCAGTCAGGGGCATGTGCCTTGTTTGCGGGCACATCCCCAGTGGGAGGTGTGCAGGAGGCAGCTAATCGATGTTTCTCTCTCATCGATGTTTCTAACTCTCTATCCCTCTCTCTTTCTCTCTGTAAAAAAATCAATAAAATATATTTAAAAAAACAACAACATGAGTCTCCTGCCACAGCTAGGTGGCTCAGTTGGTTGGAGCATTGTCCTGTATAACAAAAAGTTGCAGGTTGGATTCTCAGTCAAGGCACATATCTAAGTTTCAGAGGAGGCAACCAATTGATGTTTCTCTCACACATTGATGTTTCTATCTTTCTCATTCTCTCTCTCAATCTCTCCATCCCCCCCCCCCCCCCCGCTCCCATCAATAAAAACATATCCTCAGTGAGGATTTAAAAATAAAAAGAGTCTCCTATGTATAGGGTCAATACCAAGTTCTCCTGTTCTACCCAATTATATTTTGCCCAATAAAAGACAAGATTTTGCTTCATCGCTTGACCTTAAAGATTGTAATATATATATTAGAGGCCCGGTGCACGAAATTTGTGCATGGGGGAGGGGTGTTTCTCAGCACAGCCTGCACCCTGTCCAATCTGGGACATCCCTCTCCAATCCAAGACTGCTGGCTCCCAACTGCTCACCTGCCTGCCTGCCTGATTGCCCCTAACTGCTTCTGCCTGCCAGCCTGATCACTCCCTAACCACTCCCCTGCCAGCCTGATTGACACTTAACTGCTACCCTGCTGGCCCAATCGCCCCCAACTGCCCTCCCCTGCTGGCCTGGTCGCCCCCAACTGCCCTCCCCTGCAGGCCTGGTCACCCCCAACTGCCCTCCCCTGCAGGCCTGGTCACCCCTAACTGCCCTCCACTGCTTGCCCGATTGCCCACAACTGCCCTCCCTTGCCAGCCATCTTGTGGTGGCCATCTTGTGACCATATGGGGGAGGCCATCTTGTGTGAGGGCATGATGGTCAATTTGCCTATTACCTCTTTATTATATAGGAGATATATATATTATATATATATATTAAATATATATTAAATAATCACATTTTACTATAATGTTTATGTTGCTAGAAATCTACTCAGACATCAAAATGTGCTTTTTATAGTAAAACTTATGAGAACATAGCTTACATACTGTTATCTGCTATCCAGTGTTTCTTGATGAGAATGATAAGTGGCTGTTATACTGGCATGCATGAGAGCTCAGTTATTGATTGGACATCTTATTTTCAAGACTCTTACTATTGAAGTAGCTTCCTGAAAACACCAAGCCTAGTTAGAAACGCCAACTAGAAGTGAGGAGGGGACTGTTTTATACAGACAAGCAGATACTAGAAAGAGGTAACAAGTGGAAGCCTGACAGAAAGTAAAGAAGAAAATTCCATCATAGACGGATCTATACATTTTTAAAAACAAAGCAATCTGACTTGCTTAGAATTTTTACAATGACCTCGGAGGCTTCAATTCATTGTGGCAGCACACTGTCATAATCAAGATTGATGGCCAGTATCAATAAGTTATCAAGGAAAAGTTTCACATCTTTAAGGTGATTAGCACATGTGGAATACTTTGTAAAAACATTTCTTGAAAATTTCTTCCTTGGAGGACAGTGACTTTATCTGTGCTCTTCATCTCTATATTCCAGGGCTCCAATGAGTGACTGACACAGAGTATGTGCTCAAGTAATATTTATTAAGTAGTTGAATGAATTATCCTCTACAGCAGTGGTTTTCAACCTTCCTAATGTCGCGACCCTTTAATACATTTCCTCATGTTGTGGTGACCCCCAACTTCATTGTTACAAATTGAACATAATTAAAGCATAGTGATTAATCACAAAACAATATGTAATTATATATGTGTTTTCCGAAGGTCTTAGGTGACCCCTGTGAAAGGGTCCTTCGACCCCCAAAGGGGTCGCGACCCACAGGTTGAGAACCGCTGCTCTAAAGGGTTATTATTCTTCTTTAAAAGTTTTGGTACTTAATTCAAGGGTGTTAAGTTTGCTTTATCCAGAAGACTTAACTATCAGGAAGATTCAAGATAAGCAAATTTCTTCTGTACTTTTTCCATGAAAAATGAGAGTGAGATCTTATTTCATTTAGCCCATCTCATCAAAGGCCTACAGCAAAGATACAGTCATGGGTGTTTTCTAGGTAGCACCATCCATAGCATCCTATGCCTGTAGAATACCTCTAGTGGGAGCTCCTCAACGAAACTAACAGCTCTTGCGTTCTTTCCAGAAATCTTATGTCCAAATCCTCCAGATATTCCTAACGGAAGACACACAGGAAAACCTCTGGAAATCTTTGCTTTTGGAAAAGAAGTAACTTACACATGTGATCCCCAACCAGACAGAGGGACGACCTTCAGTCTCATTGGGGAGAGCACCATCCGCTGCACCAGTGACAGTGAAGGGAACGGGCTCTGGAGCGGCCCTGCCCCTCGCTGTGAACTTTCTGGTCCTGCTGGTCAGTACACATTTCCCCACCTCCCATATGGGTCAGTGCATCTGGGCAAGAACATCCATGTTTCTATCGTGACAGTGTCTGTTCCTCTGAATATCACTTTGTCATGAATATCAGACACAGACGTACCTGCCAGGAGAATAACAGATGGTTCTAGAGGTGCCGCACTGTGCCCCAACCGGTGGTGTTCTGATGACCCTGCCCACTGGGGTGAGGAATGTGGGATGGTGAGGAGAGGAGGCAGAAGAGAGTGGAGAGAATCAGTGAGGCCCAAAGTTTATGGAGAATATTTTGAAACCAGTGAGAATATTTGGTTATGCCATCTCTATTACTAGTTGTTTCCATACTACAAGGATGGTGTGCAGAGCAAAATGTACATATTGATGGTGTAATTTCCTTCAAAATTGGTAATGCTCTAGAAGTAATTAGGCAAGTCCCGATGTAGCCATTTGTGCTCCTGTTGTTACTTCTAAGAGTTCTGCTCAGCCCATGACTGTATTTTGTTGACCCTTCTTCTCACCTTTAGCAAAAGGAACTCAGGATGCATGGAGAAGTGAAGTGGGTGGTTGTCCTTTTAGCCTCCGTAGCTCAATCCTTTCCCATATATTTAGCTTTAAGTGACAGTACCTGGCAACCAGAAGCTCCTTTGTGGCTGTGATTGGCCACACAAGCTCCGTCCTCCAGAGAGGACAGGTAGCATTGACTGGGTGATTTGTAGATGCCAGTGGTATTTCTATCTGGTGGAGTCTGAAGGTAAAGACATACTACATGATCCTGATCAAAGGCTGAGAGGTCTATGTTTAGAGAATTAGTCTTCCCATTGACCCACAAACATTTAGTGCCTTGAGTCCTGCCTGCCTAGGTCTTATGTGGTTCTAAGAGTCAGAAATATTATTTGATGTGTTGGCGTGTTCATACTTCTATGTTTAACTGAAAGTCTTTTCTTGATCTTAGCATGCCCACCTCCACCCAAGGTGCACAATGGGCGTCACACTGGAGGACATGTATCTCCATATCTTCCTGGGATGATCGTCAACTACACCTGTGACCCAGGCTACCTGTTGGTGGGGAAAGGCTTCATTTTCTGTACACATGAGGGAAACTGGAGCCAAGTCTACCATTATTGCAAAGGTACCTTCTATTCTTGCTGGGTTTTTATGGAAGATTTCTGCATGAGGCTAATAAGGCTGATGGAGATCTTATCTGAGAGGATGGTGAAATGAGTATCAATAGAAGGAGAAGCAAAGAACAAACAGTAGGAAGAGAGGCTGCACAAATATCCTTACCTCTACCAAATAAGTAGGAAGAACAGAGGGAATTGTCAGTGATAGAATAGACATCAACCACGAATTTAAAATGTTTTCCAGGCCTTTTACTAATAAACTATTTCAGCTTTAAAGGATCACAGATGGTCCTCACAAATACCCTTAGAAGGTCAATAAGAGACTAGGAGCACTTGGTTGTGAAGACAGTAGAAGTGAGGTCAAAGCAGTTAGTTCTGGAATGACTAGGTGTGGAGTCTCACTATAACTGCCAAGTCCAAAGGTAAAGAGTTTATTGCCTCTTACCTACACCAAGTGCCAGGAATGATTTTGTTATTCATATATAATGAAATATGACTTTAAAACCTTTCTTGGCAATATTCTAAAAAGCTACAAAATGTGGAATTAAAAATCATATTCTGTGACTAGTCATGGTACTGAGATATTTACAGAAGTGATGTGTGTTAGTCTCCGGAAGAATCTGATGAGGTGGGATGATTATTCTTGCTGTCTTACCAAGGAGGAAATTGAGGTGTAGAGAGATCCAGTTACTAGCCTATGATCCTCAGCGCAGGAGGATGGTGCTAGGATTGGACCCCAGCTCATCCCCTGCTTTCTAACTCTGCACTTTATACTTTTAAGTGTGGCTTTTTGACTTTTCAAAACTATAAGTTAAGGGCTTTTTGCTTTGCTTGTTTCTCTTCTATTCTTTCCTATTTCAAATACTATGTTATCTTCCTATTTCCTGTGGTATGACCCAAGTGGATCTAGGCTAGAGTATGCTTATCCTAACTCCTCATCTTTCCACAGTTTTCCAGTTTCAGAGTTGCTCACAATTAAAAGTGGATTACAGTACATTCCATATTCCTAGGAAAATAAAGTTTGAGAATCTTAAATCATAAGATATTTAGGGAGGGGTTATCAATTTTTTCTTTATTGAAAACATGACCCATCTTTGCTGAAGGGAAATATGTTTGGGGGGTCATAGGTCTTTCCATTATGGTAGTTACAACTAAAATTCTCAATAAAATATCAATTTCCTTCTGATTTTTCTAATTTCAGAGGTAAAATGCAGCCCCCCAGAGTTTACGAATGGAATCTGGAAGGAGTTGGACATGAGGCAAGAATTTCGATTTGGAGATACTGTAACCTTGGAGTGTGAAGATGGGTATACTCTGGAAGGCAGTCCCCGGAGCCAGTGCCAGGCAGATAACACATGGGACCCTCCTCTGGCCACATGTACTAGGACATCTGGTAAGTGCAAGAGCAGGAAGAAGGAATGCAGGTCCTCCCCAGTCATGCACTGTTCATTCATTCATCCGTACTGTCATCCAATGTGGTGTGATTGTTACAGCATCGAACGTGGTAGTGCTAAGGAGTGCAGGAGGAGCTCCTAATTCTTCTCCAAAAGCCCTTAGCAAAGAGAGCCAAGCAAGCCTTGCTCTCTCCACAGTTCTCAACCCATTCATCTCTCCTTGGGGACCTCGCTGAACCTTTTTGGTCTGCATCACTCTATTGTTGCCTGCATCCCACAGTAATGATTTAGTTATAGCCCGGGGCCTTAAAAGTGAAGAGCCCCACAAGCAGGCCTTCAGGGATTTCAGCATGAGTCAGGAAACACCTTCCAAGTTGCTGAGACCAGCTGTCCTGTCTCCCTCACTGCTGTTGGCTACAGGATTCTAAACTGGTAAAACTACATCAGCAGATTTAGAAATCAGGTGTCATTGAGCTGTATTGGCAACTAGAGAGAAAATCTAAACCTTGAAATTGTACACATCAAGGAGCCGATGAGCAAAATTAAAAATGAATAACTTTCCTTAATCTAAGTTAGTGCTAGGCCTTCCTCACCCATTCTTATGATTCTTATTTGTAGCAGTGATTACCAATATTGTTCAAGATGTTTTTAAAGTTAATCCCTTAAGTGTGCTAGTTAATCTGACTTATGAATGATATTTCCAAATTATAAACTGTAACTTCCTTAATATCAAATTATATTTACTTTGGAAAAACGCTCACTGCCTAACTGGCTGAATGAATGCCTTTACAGGGTTTGAACATGTGGCCATGAAAGACAGAAAATTCCCATGATGGAGGGCCACCTTACCAGACATTAAAAGAAATATAAAGCCACAATACACAAATCACTTTAAAGTAGCATAAAATTGACTCATTTTTATAAGTGAAACAGAATAGATATTAATAAAATAAAGGTTTTTATAAATAAAAGTAAAAGTATCTTACAGATGAAATATAGCCAAAACCGGTTTGGCTCAGTGGATAGAGCGTCGGCCTGCGGACTGAAAGGTCCCAGGTTCGATTCCGGTCAAGGGCATGTACCTGGGTTGCGGGCACATCCCCAGTGGGAGATGTGCAGGAGGCAGCTGATCGATGTTTCTCTCCCATCGATGTTTCTGACTATCTATCTCTCTCCCTTCCTCTCTGTAAAAAATCAATAAAAAAACAAATATATATATATTTGAAATACAACAGAGATGGTAAAGATGATCAAATAACAAAGGTAGCAATGAAGCAAATTTAGGACTTTTCTTTTTATCTTACAAAAAGTACCAGATGTATTCAAGAGTTAAAGATTTAAAGTCAATATAGAAAAGCTAACATAAATTATATTTATTTATCAAACCTCTGGAAGAAGACTTAAATTCTTTGAACTTTTGATATGACAGAGAAAATCATTAAAGATCAACAAAGTTAACTTACAGCTTATGTGCGTATTTTGGAAAGTAAGAGAGCAGTAGACAGATGAGAAATATGGGACAAATATAATGAAGAGTTAATAGTATTATCATACCAGTAGCAGTAGTGGTAGTTGTGGTGGTAAAAATTAACGTATATTGATTGAGAGCTTAATTCCACTGTTCAAAGGTTAGGTAGGTAAAGAGGTGCTATAAATATGTAAAAACCTACATGTATGGGAACATGTTCTAGAAGGGAATGTACCAAAGCATTTCATGGTGGTAGAATTATGTGTGATATTTTTCTTTTGTTATGTTTTATACATTCTTTGCTGTAGTTCTATTAATTTTATGATAAAATGGTAAGTTAAAAAGAAAGGAAACAGACCACTGAATACAGAAGATAAAATGAGATTATCTCAGTAAAACCAATGTTTTTTTATATTAGAACAAAATTGGACTGTGCAATGATAAAAATTAGGCTAAATTATCATTGGCTGAGGGCTCCTGTTCAATCATGTTGAGTGCTTGACTGATGCATTTGTGACCTTTGTCTTCCTTTTAGGCCGACGTAATGCTCACATTATTGGTAAGTTTTATAAAGGGTTTGCTGAGAAACTGCAGCATCTTTAACAGTAAGTATCCACTTATAATGAATGAAATGTAAAAAGAGAGGTCAAAATATCTTACATTGCGATTTCATTTAGAAAGGAGACAGTGATAGACTCAGGCCACGGTGTGGCAAAACTGGTATCCTCATCTGCTATAGAGTGTCCTCCATCAGAGGCTCTGCACTCTCTTTGAACCATTAAAGATGACCAGTCCTTCATCTTATTTTATTGTAGCTGGAGAATACAACCTGGGAATATTCTTCAGGGTGGTAGTCATGCTCACTTGCCCAAATTGAAAGCCAGAGACCACTAAGCCCGTTTCTGGGATCTGAGTGTGGAAGAGGAATAGTGTTATGAGAGAGTTGGCTTCAGAGGGAATTGGCAGTTTGTTGCATAGAATAGCTCCTGTGCCTCACACAAGAGATGCGCAGGGCCTGAGAGGTGGAACCCAGGAGTCTCAGCGCTGTTCTCACATGTTGTTGAAAGGCTGCTGTTGGACTACAGGTTACAAAATGGCTCTGCTCACTCCTTTCCCTTAACCCTATAGAAGTGACAGTAACGAGCTGGATTAAACAAGAAGCAGAGGGGAGAACTTTTTGTTGTTGCTGTTAATCCTCACCAGAGGATATTTTTTCCGATTGATTTTTAAAGAGAGAGAGTTGGGGGCACGGGATGGCGGGGAGACTCGCCCCAACCAAGGCAGGGATTGAACCTGCAACCTAGGTAGGTGGCCTTGACCAGGAGTCAAACCCATGCCCCTTTGGTACACGGGCTGAGCTCTAACCACTGAGAAATGACAGCCAAAGGTAAGCCAGTGTTGGTGTTTTTTAAACCAGAATTTAGTTACATTTTTAAAAAATCATTGGCAACCTTTAGAGAGACTAGATATGAAGATAGAGATGAAAAGCTAAGGGTTGTATTTTGCATGCACTTAATTACCTTGTTTTACTGCCTAGGCATATCCTCCGGTGTGGTCATCTTTATTATACTCGTCATTATTTCCTGGATGATTCTAAAGCACAAAAAACGGTCAGTACAGCCATGGGCTTTGCAATCACTAAGACCTATGTTCATACTCACTCACTAGCTTTGAATCCTGGCAAGGTACTTAGTCTCTCTAAAGTTCATTTTCCTCGCCAGAAAAATAAGATAATAGTCGTTTCTACCACAACACAGTGCCTCTCTCTTATAATGAATGTCACAAAATGTTAGCTTTGTTATTTATACATGACTACTAATACTTCTTTTACTATCAGTTCTTATGTACCTTCATGACAACTGCTACTTTCCATACTATAGGTATTGTACAAAATACAGAACGTATATCTTCACTATGGCGGTGAAAGGAAGCCTTGTGTAAGATTGCAGCGCAAAGCCATTTAAATGTCACAATCCTGTTGTACCAGTATTTACTAATCAATATAACTTTGGAATAGAGAAATGTGTTGTTCTAAGGCATGGGCACTTGTCTATAAGCAGGTTAGAGTTCCGACACAACCTATAGAATGGTTTTAATATTATTTTCTAATCCAAGGTTTTACTCAGTTTTGAAAAGTGTGACTTGGTTACATTTTTCTTTTTAGATGCCTTACAAAGATATCGGAAACCTGAGACAAATTATGCCCTAAATTTCCAAATGAAAGTTATTGATTACCTCCATTCAAAACGAAAAAATATATAATTTAGTTATTTTTCTCATCTTTTTCTCCCCTGCCAATTAGCAGTAATACAGATGCAAAACCTAAGGAAGTCAATATCCATTTACATCCCCAAGAAGACAGCTGTGATCATGGGAAAAGTCTGCAAACAAATGAGGAACATTGCAGGTACCAAACACAAATTAAAATCAAAATGCTTTCTCCCTGACCGGTTTGGCTCTGTGGATAGAACGTCAGCCTGTGGATTGAAGGGTCCCAGGTTCGATTCCGGTCAAGGGCATGTTCCTTGGTTGCGGGCATGTCTCCAGTGGGGGGTGTGCAGGAGCCAGCTGATCAATGTTTCTCTCTCATTGATGTTTCTAACTCTCTATCCCTCTCCCTTCCTCTCTGTAAAAAATAAATAAAATATATTTTTAAAAAATAATAATAAAATCAAAAAATCAAAATGCTTTCAACAACCCACGTATCGAATGGAAACAGGATTTAAATATGCTATTGTATCTGGTAGATCACTAATACCAAAGGCATTGGAAAGTACTTCAGGAGCTGGATACACTGCTGGTGGTGTCTATCTTGGATAATTGTTTCCAGTGACTTGGGGTGAGGACTCCGGCAGTGCTGTGCACAGGCAATGTTTTCCTAAGCATTCCTGTATTGTTGTGTGTTTGTTATAGGTGGAAGTGGTGTTCTTGGGGTGCCCTGGGGGAAAGAATTTTATTGACGATGTAAAGTTAAGGGGGTTCCCTTCCAAGACCCCGTCTATGTCAGTCCCACCATGGGAGAAGTCCGAGCTTACCTTCAGCAGGGCTAGAATTAGGGATGCCAGTCTTCACCCCATAGTATAGCAGAGTCCAGTCCAGCATCCGCATGTGGATCCACATGGCCATGGGCCACGCGTCTTCTAGGGCCACATGGCTATGGAGACAGAACAGGCGAGCGCACGGGGCAGGTGCAGGCCATGAAGCGAGAGTGCCACAGCACCAGACCAGAACAAGAGAGAGGGAACGCTTTGTCCTGGGATCATGTATTCCCAAATTTTCCTGAGTTTGCATTGTGTCTACCCCCCAGCCAATCCATTGTTCCCCACGCTAGACTGACAGGCAAGCCCCTTTTCTACATCACCCTGACTGCACTGTGTATGCGCCCATCTCCCCCTGTGTTCAACTCCTTCCCCTGAGCATGTACCCTGACTGAGAATCGAATAGGTAACCTCTTGGTACCTGGGAGCCTTCAGAAAACTTACCAAGATATCAAAAACCTAAGACAAGAGATGCCCTAAATTTCAAAATGAAAGCTACAGACTACCTCATTTCAAAACTAAAATGTATATAATTAAGCTATTTTTCTCATCTTTGTCTTCCCTGCCAATTAGCACTAATACCTGGCCAGGCAGGGGTGATGTGCCACAGTCTTTCACAGCAATGGTTCAGGAATCTGGAGAAGGTACTGCGACATAATGCATAGAGACTATATAAGAAATATAAATTTGGAAGGCATTTTGCGGGAGCCAGACAGAAACCAGCTCTCTAGTGGAGTGGCTCGCCGAATCTCCGGACCCACGGCTTTTTATTTACACATTTTGTCCTTTAGCAAAGCAAACACACATATCAAAGGTAAAGTTTAATAAACAATAAAAGATTATCAGGTTAGGGGATTGCCCTCAGCCATTTGCCAGCAGCAGGGTAATATAACGTTGATAATCAGCCCTGCCCTGCTGCATATCGAAGCCCATCCGCGTCCTGGTGAACTTGCAGCATTTATTATGACCTGCTGGTCTTAACCTCCAGCAGGGATGCATTTGTTTTCCTCTATTATCAGGGAACTTTGATGTAAAAATTGTGCAAAACTGATTCTTAGCCAGCCATGCTATCACCAAATATAAACAGACTAAATAACCAGACCATGAGGGCAATGCTTGTCTTTATACAATTTTATTAAAAAACTAAAGGCCCAGTGCACAAAAATCTGTGCACTCAGGGGAGGGGGGGCCCTCAGTCTGGCCTGTGCCCTCTTGTAGTCTGGGACCCCTCGGGGGATAACCAACTGCTGGCTTAGGCCCGCCCCCGGGGGATTGGGCCTAAGCTGGCAGTCAGACATCCCTCTGGCAGCCCAGGAGCCCTTGGGGGATGCCCACTTGCCAGCGGAGAGCAGGCCTAAGCTGCAGTCGGACATCCTTGGCGCTGCTGAGGAGGCGGAGAGGCTCCCACCACCACCGCTGTACTGGTAGCTGTCAGCCTGACTTGTGGCTGAGCAGAGCTCCCCCTGTGGCAGCGCACTGACCACCAGGGGCAGCTCCTGCATTGAGGGTCTACCCCGTGGTGGTCAGTGTGTGTCATAGTGACCAGTCATTCCCAGTCGTTTTGCTGTTAGGGTCAATTTGCATATTACCCTTTTATTCTATAGGATGTTCCAGAAGACTGCTTAAGATATCATTTCATTTACCTTATTCCTGCCAGGTTACCTGCCTAAAACACATTGCCACCTTCCTTCCAATCTAAGTTGCATGAACTCAGCTCAGGAATCACTGACCCAAGAAGCTCCACCAAATAACTCCAGTCCAAAGTGATGTCTCTCTTTGGAACTCAAAGCACTTCCTGTCTATTCCAAATTTTTAAAATAAATTATTTTCTTTCAAGGATAATATATATACTCATTGAAAACAAAGTACCCAGAAACATAAAACAATAAAAATTACTTGTAATAACCCTCCACCCAGTGGTTAGTATTATTAAGCTACTTTGCATATTATTTTACATTTGAAAGGTTATACTTTGAGATTATGTTGATGTGATTTTGGTTTCACAAATGACAACCATTCTTCTCATTGTTAAAAGCTGTATATGAATACATCATACAGTATTTGACTTTTCATTTGTTGTTTTTTACCCATTAACTCTATTGCATTCTTTCACTCACTCACTCATTGATTCTACAAATTTTGATTAGTCACTTATAATTGTAACCAGACAATCAATGAATCTGGGCTGCCTGTCACTACTTGAGCCATTTCAGCAGACAGGGTTGAATCATATATTAGCATTTATTCCAATAATGCCGGCAGTATGGGAGAGCAGCAGGTCATCCAAAAAATTCTGCTTTGCCCCCCACCATAAGCCAGCTGCATATATTGGGTAGATGGACAAAGATTACATGGGGAAGAAGGCAAAAGGGATAAGAATGGGTATGCAAAATGGGCAGTTTAAAGGTCATGCAGGTTGGGGGTTTGCAAAGGCCTTGGGCTGCCTCTGTTTTCTGCAACAAAGTTGTTAACCTTTCATTGATAATAGGCAGCTCCTGGATGTGGAGGATGGACCACATTTCCAGGTGAGCTCCCAGGTCCCACATGCAACTCCCATCCAGGCTGAAATGTGCTTTTTAAATTTTTTTAAATTAAATCTTTATTGTTCAGATTATTACAGTTGTTCCTCTTTTTTCCCCCATTGCTCCCCTCCACCCAGTTCCCACCCCACCCTCTGCTCTTACCCCACTACCCCCCACTGTCCTCATCCATAGGTGTACAATTTTTTTCCAGTCTCTTCCCGCACTCCCCATACCACTTTCCCCCTGAGAATTGTCAGTCCACTCCCTTTCTATGCCCCTGATTCTATTATATTCACCAGTTTATTCTGTTCATCAGATTATTTATTCACTTGATTTTTAGATTCACTTGTTGATAGATATGTATTTGTTGTTCATAATTTTTATCTTTACCTTTTTCTTCTTCTTCCTCTTCTTATGGATACCGTTCAGCATTTCATATAATACTGGTTTGGTGGGGATGAACTTTTTTAGCTTTTTCTTATCTGTGAAGCTCTTTATCTGACCTTCAGTTCTGAATGATAGCTTTGCTGGGTAAAGTAATCTTGGTTGTAGGTTCTTGCTATTCATCACTTTGAATATTTCTTGCCACTCCCTTCTGGCCTGCAAAGTTTCTATTGAGAAATCAGCTGACAGTCGTATGGGTACTCCCTTATAGGTAACTGACTGTTTTTCTCTTGCTGCTTTTAAGATTCTCTCTTTGTCTTTTGCTCTTGGCATTTTAATTATGCTGTGTCTTGGTGTGGTCCTCTTTGGATTCCTTTTGTTTGGGGTTCTCTGCGCTTCCTGGACTTGTAAGTCTATTTCTTTGACCAGGTAGAGGAAGTTTTCTGTCATTATTTCTTCAAATAGGTTTTCAATATCTTGCTCTCTCTCTTCTTCTGGCACCCCCATAATTCGGATGTTGGTATGCTTGAAGTTGTCCCAGAGGCTTCTTACACTATCTTCATATTTTTGGATTCTTTTTTTCTTTTTGCTTTTCTGGTTGGGTGTTTTTGCTTCTTCATATTTCAAATCTTTGACTTGATTCATGGGATCCTCTAGTCTGCTGTTGGATCTCTGTATAATATTCTTTATTTCAGTCAGTGTATGCTTAATTTCTAGTTGGTCCTTTTTCATAACCTTGAGGGTCTCACTAGATTTCTTGAGGGTCTCACTAAATTTATTGGACGTTTCTAGAAGATTCTTGAGTAACCTTATAAGTGTGGTTTTGAACTCTATATCCAGTAGTTTGCTTTCCTCCATTTCTGTCATTTGTGACCCGTTTTTTTTGTCTCCTCATTTTGGCTGCTTCCCTGTGTTGATAGAGTGGCTTTCTGTGCTAGGTGTCCTATAGGGCCCAGTGGCTCAGCCTCCCCAATTACCTGAGATGGACACTCTTGGTGCACCCCCTTGTGGGCTGTGTGCACAGTCTTGTTGTAGTTAAGCCTTGATTGTTGTAGGTATCACTTGGAGGAAATGACCTCCAGGCCAATTGGCTGTGAGAATCAGCTGTGTCTGCAGTGGGAGAACTTCTGTGCTGGAGACACCCTTATGGGCAAGACTGCTTCTGTGGGGCTTTGGTGCTCACTGAGTCTGCCCTCTGAGTGTGTCCCTTATGGATCTGAGGAGTTGTAATCTGGATGGTCCCACTCTGACCACTGGGTACACTGGCTCTTGGATCTCTAAGGAGGTGCTAATTTAGCCCCTTCCTGAGGCTACCCAGCAGGAGCTATGGAGAGATCTGCAGATTCCTCTTCTTTGTTTGGGGTTTTGAGGTGCCCAGATGAGGCCCAGCTGTGAAGCAATGCAAGCTGCTGTGGGGCCTTGGGCCTTCTTTTGGATGTTCTGGGTCTCTCTGACCCAGCTGCAGTTTGTTAGGTAATTGTAGATTGCAAAGGGCCAGGTCATTCATATGCAAAAGCCTCTGCCACAGCTTGGGTGGGGCGGGGTCTCGGGGAATCAACAGGACGGAGCAAACAGCTATGGCTGCTCCTTAGTTCTGCCCTAAGAGGACCTGGGTCTCAGTGTTCCTCGGTGTTCGCTGCAAGCACCTCAGAGAGAAGGCCGCCCTTGAGTTCTGACCGATGCCAGACAGTCCAGTTTCTCCCTGCATGAGTCTGGGTCGCCAGAGACTCGCCCGGAACTGGAGTTAAGGGCCGGGAGCTTGTGTCTCCCTCCCAATGGAAAAAGATAACCATGTCCTCAGTTGCCAGCCCTTTCCACGTGCACCTCCGTACCTCTGCACTTTACTTCCGCACCTCCTCTGAGTCTCAGTGTGCTTTTCTCTTTCCTTCTAGTTGTAGAATTTCCACTAAGCCAGCCTTCCTGTGGTTCTGGATGGTGTCCGTTTTGTCTTTTAGTTGTATTTTTGAAGTGGCTGTGCGAGGCAGCAATTATCAGTGTTTACCTATGCCGCCATCTTGGTTTCTTCGAAATGTGCTTTCTTTAATCAGAACAAAACAACCATGGTGAACAGAGCATGGTTAATATTTCTTATCATTATAGCTGGTCACCAATATTCTTTGTCTGCCCCTAACCTAATGTACCACACATTGTGCTTGTGTGTTTTCTCCCCCAGGCTAAATTAACTTACGTATTCATAAAGACCATCAAGTAAAATTGCCCAAATTTCTGAGTATAGACTTAATCAAATGAGAAGTGGTCAGTAAATATTTGAGAATCAATTTGCCTAAATGTAATTTATTCTCAATTTTTTGGAGACATTCTTTTACATCAAGATGCATCTCAAGTTGTGTTTATTGACTGTTGGCCACTTTTTTATTAAAAGCTAGGAACTCCTTAATAAAGTAATGTCAAATTTTCATTTTTAAGATTGGAATTCTGACCACTGGTGTTCTACAGGAGAAGGTTAATCATTTGTAGACGAGGAGTGAGCTAGAATCTGTGCCAAGCTGAAAAGCTGTGCACTCAGGTCAGGTGCAGGCTCGAAGAGTATACAGATAAGGAGGCAGACAGACTCCAAAGACACAGCCACGCGTTGGAACGCATGAGAATGCTCAATGATGATGCAGCTAACACGATGTTGGGAACACTTGTGATCTAGAAAGGGGACAATGATGAAGGGTCAGGTGGCAATAATTACTGGGAGTGCCAGGTGAGCTGAGGGAAGTCTGTCCATTTGTGACAACACAGTGTTCCGGGCCTTAAGAAAGAGTGGCGGAGGGAGCATTTGGACACTTTACAGGGGTTCTCAACCTTCCTAATGCCACGACCCTTTAATACAGTTCCTCATGTTGTGGTGACCCCCAATTTCATTGTTACAAATTGAACATAATTAAAGCATAGTGATTAATCACAAAAACAATATGTAATTATATATGTGTTTTCCGATGGTCTTAGACGACCCTTGTGAAAGGGTCATTTGACCCCAAAGGGGTCGCGACCCACAGGTTGAGAACCGCTGCCTTAGACTATGCAATACCTCCTTTCAATCTTGACTGTGATAAGGGCAGGAGGACATGCTATTTGAAGCTGCCCCACCCCCAAACTAGCAGATTCTGATTCCTTCCCCCTGCTGTAACCATGGTTCAGAAAGGAGACTAAAAGAAAGCTTTTGTGTGTTACAATGGACCTGTAAGTTTTCTGGAATAAGGCTCTTTTTTTTAGTTGCTCAACTCTGAGGACACTTTTCCTTTTACAAAAAGAAATGGTGAATGGTCAAGTTATTCATACATCTATTATGTACTAAGCATCTCAGTGTATGCCATACCATCTTGTGTCCTACATAGCTACCAAAACAGAGGGCAATAAACACTTCTTTTAAACGTGTAAGATATACGTGATGTCAGTATCATGATTAGCAGCATAGAAATTTGTTGACCCTGCTGCCATTTAAATAAGAATTCCTTATATTTCAGTGTCCTTCCTTGACAACATACTATAAAACTGAAGAACATCTCAAATGAAAATGCTCATTGGAAACGAGCCAATTCATTTCAACAGAATAAGATCTGAGACTCATAAAGTCCTTGAAGTGACCTCACAGAGCGACCAGCGTGTGCACGTGGAGATGCTGGAGCTCTCCCAGTTCTCGAGGAAGCTCCCTCCTCGGAGTGTGGATGCTGTCACTCCATCTTCCTTCTTTGTGCTGAAATGAAAAAACACCCTGTCTAGCCAGGGCAAAGACTGCACTTAGGGCTTAGAAGTAATCTCAGTTACTTAAAAGAAGAAGTTGTCACCTAGGATTTCTGTCTATAAGTTTGTCATTTGTCTTTCTTATTTTTAATTATTCATATAGGTGATCTTGAACAATGTGGGGTGAAGTGGTGCCATCTGAATGAAAATGCTGTTTCTGATTGGCCATTTGCTAAATCCTGCATGCAACATCCCAGGATGCAGAGGGGCAACTGTATAGTTATTGAAAAATATTCAAGTGTAGTTATTGAAAAATATTCACCCATGCAGTTCAGACTCTTGTTGTTCAAGTGTTAACTGTAATATGGAATGGACTCAAAAAAGAGAATTTGGAAAATGCAGGAGGAGGATATAAAAAACAAGTAAGTCACGAATAATTATACTACCCTGGGATAACGACTGGTAATGTTTTAATTCACTTTCTGCTAATTTTTCTTCATATATATGGGTCTTTATACACACATATGTCTTTCTTTCTTAAATACCTTCTTTTTTGTTTGTAGAGCAGAATCCATTCCTTTTAGACAGATTGGAGTAAAAGGTATGTTTTCACTTTCTCAAAAAAATATATGTAATTTCTGTTTCTTAAAAAGTCATTAGATGATTATAGGAAAGATGGCTTAAGAATACTCAAGAGAAATATTTGGGGGGGGTGATAAGCTTTGGATATTTCCTAAGCTCTATTTCAAAAGTACTTTGTACTATGCTCTGTTTAAAAAACATACTGAATTTTAAATAAAAGTAAATTTTTTATATAAAAGTAACTAGTTTACTTTTGAATGGATTCAGCATACACTAAATTTACTAAGAAACACGACTTTTAAGAATTTATCAAATTAATAACATGTATTGACACATTCTCAACAAGTAGCCCTAGAGTCTATAAAAAATCCACATCTTATAGATGAAAAATTCATTTGGGGTGATATTATGGGCCACCCTAGAAAATATCAGAATCTTTCAGGATATTTAAGAATAGATTTGTGTATGACTACTGCTAACTTCTGTGTCATTCTGGTTTTAATAGTTGTTTCTTAAGTATATTCTGATTTTTATATTGATAAATATCACTAGTGAACTGGACCTCAACTAGAAGTTTAATTTAAAATCATGCAAGAGAGAAAAACACACAGCAGAACCAAAAAGCCAACTGACAAAGTGGGAAAATAAATTGCAACATATCACAGACAAAGGTTAAGGGGCTTAACTGAGAGTTAGTAATTCAAAGACCAATTCTCCCCTACCTCTCTCTAAAGGGGCAAGAGATATTTATCCAGACACACACATACACACACACACACACACAGGTAAATAGTCCACAAATATATAAAAAGATGCTCAATGGTTTGCTTAGCAAATTCCTATTATTTCTTGGGTTTGGGGAATAGAATCTTTTAAAAGAGGTGTAGAAATTAACTGAGAAATATCCTTGCTTAGAATTAAAAATCCCTTCATAGAAAAAAATTAAATTCTTTTTCCCTCCTCTGAATGGAGTAGGTTGGTGAGCAATGTGATTAAGAAATATCTGATGCTGTGACTTTTTAATTGTTAAAAACCCATGAGATATTTTTAACATTGGTTATCTCTGGGAAACAATGTGTAAAATACCATATTGCCTAACTTAATTGTATTATTGAAAAATTCTGTTAACTTCTTTTTTATTTTAAATATATTTTTATTGATTTCAGAGAGGGGAAGCGAGAGGGAGAGAGAGAGAGAGAGAGAGAGAGAGAGAGAGAGAGAGAGAGAGAGAGAGAAACATTAATCATGGATCAGTTGCCTTCTGCATGCCCCCTCTGGGGATTGAGCCCAAAACCTGGGTATATGCCCTGACAGGGAATCAAACCATGTCCTCCTGGTTCATGGGTGGACACTCAACCACTGAGCCATACCTATTGGGCTTCTGTTAACTTCTTGCCTCACATTTTTTCAACTGAAAAGAAGCAGCTGAAACAATTACTCTCCAAAGCCATTTCCAATGCTAATGTAACTTTTATTTTGTACACTTAGATGTGAGATGTAAGTTAATTTAAACTATAATGCTTCAATGAAATTTTGTCTCCCCCATTATAAGAAATGAAAGATTTCATTATTGAAACTCTTCTTATGAGATATGTTTTGCAATATATCTACTTTTTTGAGCCTTCAACAAGAGGGAACAAAATGAAAACATGTTCCTTCTGAGAAATGCCCTCCTTTCTGTATTTGACTGGCTTCAAAAGGCCTGCTTGGGTGTGGCCTACCACAGCAAGGCTCTGACTGGTAACAGCTATTGGCTGGCAGGTGCTTACCAGGTGCAAATAGAGAAGGCATCACTCTCAGGGCCAACCTCAGAAGCAGGGCTCATCCTCTGTTCAGCCAGCCACTCTCTTTCAGATTTCCACAAACACCTGTATCTTTCACCAGGACAGTCACAGGCCTTCTCTGAGGGCATTCACAGGGGCATTCATGCTGCTACCCCACCTCTGAAAAGCATCATGTAAATATGCTAATGTAGGTGGCAAAGAATCATCTAACATTGTTTTCTTTTAAAGAAGTCGGACTCTCATAACATCCCCACATACCAACTACATCATACCACAATTCATAAAGCCTTAAAAGGTATCTGCCACACAGCTCAAAACCTGGGTATTCATGCACATTCACCACTCTCTTCTCCTTTTCTCTTTAGCCTTTTGAAAAAAATCTTTAGGGGGAGTTAGAGGAACCACTAGTTTTTTTGTTATTAATCCTCCCTGGAGAATTTTTCCATTGATTTTAGTGAGGGGGGGAGTGGAAGAGAAGGGAGATAGAGAAACATTGATGAGAGAATGCCACATCAATCAGTTGCCTCCTGTACATACCCCAACCCAACTGGGGTGGGGAACCTGCAACCCAGGTACATGCCCTTGATCGGAATTGAACCCCTGACCCTTGGGTTGGTAGGCTGCTGCTCTAACCACTGCACCACGCCAGCCAGGGCAGAACCACTCGTTTTTACTCCCCTACTTCCCTCAAAGCATTAACTCTGTGCTTTTTTCCTGTGAGGACCTTAGGAAGTTCACAGTCAATATTCTCCTTTGAACTCAGTCACTAAAATGATCTCAATGCTAAGGGACAAACATTAGCTCCACTTCATAGGCCAGCTTGTCTGCCTGATTAAAAAAGGTTTTCAGTGCAAACATTCATATCTCATTTTTAAAAGAGACAAATCCAGTTTTGTGTTTAGTGTCTAAAATGATCAAAATCTAAATCTCTCTGAAGTTTTTAGCATTTGGTAAACCCATAGAGGGAAGCATTGAATGAGACATGTTAAATGCACTTGACTTCTACACCTGTTTGTTTCACTCAGTACTTAACACACATTTATTATACAGCTCCTGCAGGCCTAGTACTGTCTGGGCACAGGAGAAAAAGCAACAAAACTCTATTCCTGACTCATAGAGCTTGTCCATAAAAATAGGGAACAAGGCTTGGGACATATCCTGAGATGAGTCAACTCAAAATAAGTTGAAGCAATCGATGTGAAAATTTTAAATTATATTTAGAATGCTTTGATGAACACCAGGAGTAGAAATTTCATTGACTGAAAGCAAATTCCAGTTCTGAATCTAATCTAGTACCTGTAACTAAGAGACTCACCATATTTTCTCCCTACCTTTTGAATATTCTCACAATTAAAAACAACTTACTTCCAAGCCCCAAATAGATGGGAAAGGTTTTTCTCACCTTTATTGAGATAAAATTGACATAGAATATAGTGTACTAGTGGTTGTAGAGAATAGATTCTCTGTTTTAATAAGTGACAACATTAAGCTACTAAACTACCAGTATAATTCTTTTACAACTGTTAGAATGAAGAGAAATGATAATTCCTCATAATTGAGTTTCCTATTCACTGTCTCCTTGATTATACCTCCTTTAATCTGTCTCATCATGGGATATCTAGATTTAATAACCCAAGATATTTTGATGTTCATTTTATAATCATCTCCACACATAGTGTCTTACATGCTTGGCCAATAATCCAAATATTAATTATATTGGTCTGAGAGAAAGAGGAAATTCCATGGTTTGTGGAACCCAGAAGCCTTCAGTCCATCTCAGATGCAGAATTGTGTAAATGTATATGAAGTTTTGTAATTCCAGAAGAAGCATTTCAGGTTTGTACCGGTTGCTTCCATTTCCTCACCAACATCTCATTTTTTAACCTGGAGCAGTACAGGTTCAATCCCCACCATTGTATGAACAAAATAGATGTCGATATATATATTGGATGGTTAAAAAAAAAATTTTCATTACCTGAATCCAAATATAACATAAGGTCAGTCAATACACAAAACTGAAAATCACAAAGAAAATTAAATATAATTGTGGTATATTTCCAACTAATCTCTTTTCCTATGCATTAATATACTGCTTTTTTTCAATAAAAGAAATACCAAAAGGTATACACTGATTTGAATTCTACTTCTTTTCATTTATGAATATATTCTAGTTTCTCACAGTGATATTATTTTACACTGCTTGCTACATTGAATTCCACCCTAAAAAGCTACCAAGCATCAATTCCTTAACACTATTACTAGACACTTAAGGTTTATATTTCTTCCAAATTATACACCTTTGCAAGGCCATGTGCCCCATAGAGTTGAGGCTTAATATGCGTAATGGCGCAGTGTTGTTGAATATTTTTCCTTCCCAGGGGTCCTCTCAGGAGAGTAAGGGAGGAGAGTCATTTACATTAGGTGTGGGGAGTGCAGAGGCCAAACCCACCCAGGGCTGTCCTTCCCCATCCAGGCCTGTACACCACCCCTCGCCCAGACCCCTCCTTGCAGGCTGCCCATTGGCCCTGGCGCCCGCCCAGGACACGCCCATTGTGGGGCGGCACCTGGAACTGAATCTGGGTTTTGCTGCAGCTGATAACTTCACTCAATGAGGCACCTGCTCCTTGGCTCTATAGGGATTCCCATCCCGCTGATCTCACGGAAAATGACGGCTTTTGGCGGGACGCGAACCACACCTCCCCGCCGCCCTGAGAGCCCCTTCTCTTCTTGGAGCTTCGTTGGGGTCCTTTTGATGGCTCTAGTGCTCCAGTTCCCCACATCCTTCGGTAGGAGCCTGGAGACGGTGTGCGCTCCGGGGCGAACTGGAGCGGGTCGGGGAGCCCCAGGCCGTCCTCAGCCAAGGACGGGGCGGGGTGGGAGGGGAGAAGGGAAGGGGAGAAGCGGGGCTTCGTTTGGTGGGTCGGGAGGAGGCGCAGGACTGGGTCGACCCGGGTGGTGCGGAGTTGGGGTGAAGGCGTGGCCCGAGATGCCTGATCTTTCTGCGCGCGGATCTGGGGCGGGGGGAAGCCCGCAGTGCCCGCGGCGAAGGCTGCCTGGTGGTCGTCTCTAAGCCGCGGCGGGTGCTGGGCGCCCCCAAGTGTTCCGGGCTAAGTAAGCTGCGTCCCTAGCAAAAGCTTGCAGGTGCTTGGGGCCTGGATCAATCAGGACGAGCCGCGCGGGCACGTGCCCCAGGTGCGGGCTCTCCCGAGTGCTCTGGTGCACGAGGTTGATGCTAGAGCCCTGGCTGTGCCCGTGGGGGGCTGGCGCTATGCTCCCTGGGCCGGGGGACGCCTGGGTGAGTGGGCTGTTGTGCCCCCCTGGCTCGGGCTGGGGGGTCCCGGGCGGGTGTGGTGTTGTCTGCAGCGTGTTTGGGGTAAGTGCCCAGAGCAGCGGTGCAGGGTGTGGGGCCGGGAAGCTCCCTGCTGGCTGTGTATGGGGGCCGGGGCGCGTGTTGGGCGGGGAGCGCTGCACGAAAGAAGCCTGGGTTCCTGGGTTCAGCGGGTTTTGAAAGGGCGCGCAGTGCTTTTTGCACTCAAATAGATTGGTTTTTGGCCACTATCGGGCGGGTTTTTGTTTTGTTTTGATTTTCTTCCTTTTTTTAGGGGGGGGGGGGCATTGAGTCATGTTTGTGTTCCTATCAAATATAGACAGTACACTATTCTGCTACCAAATGGCTTCTTGGAATTGTTTTTCTTTTTCTTTTTTCCCCATCGTGTTGGGTCCTATATGAGGGGAGATGCAAAACTACCTAAGAAAACATTAGTAACCAACCAATGAGAAATAACCACCCTAAGAAATGCTAATCTGCTTTTCCCCTACAGCTCAAAAATACAGCTGACAGCCCATCCACTAGGTTTCTTTGGTGTTTTACTGAATGGGATATGCAATTTAAAATATATATGCCACAGAAAGCATGCTTATCGTATCAAACATACGCAATCAACGGACAGTAATTTTTAACACTTGGGTCTATGTCCTTCTGTCTTTATATCCTCTTGTGTTTCTATTTTTAGAATTCTATCATATGTACAATTTGTACGCTGCATTCTGTCCTAAGCAGCCATCATCCTACAAATAGTTGCCTTGCATGTGCCATGTCTTGTGCTGGTCCTGAGGACACACTGATGAACAATAACAAACCATTCCTATGTTCATGATCCTTATTTCATGGTTTTTATTGTGTGTTCACGCACACACACACACACACACACACACACACTGGGATATAAGCAGGGACTGTGTTTTGCCCACTGTTGGATGCAGGCACACAGTAGGCAATCAGTAAATATTTGCTATAATGTACTGGGAGTGGCAGACACTAACCAAACCATAATACTACCCTGTTATAACCCAAGAGGGATGCTCTGGAGGGATGGAGGATTCTCTGGCAGCATTTAATGAACAAATGACTGGTGGAGAGTAACATGGGCAGTAAATAGACTAAGATATAAACTGACCATGTAACTCCAAAATCCTCAGATGCTTATGGAGAGAAAACAAATGAGGAAATGGTGATTGCAACAGTGTTAAAATGTTCCTGCCAGGGTAAGCATTCCAGGCAGAATTGTCCTCACGTTCTGCAGTTCATGAACCTGTCCTTTCTAGAACAATCCTGTGAGTCACTGGACCATCTATAGCTGGAAATGGAGAAGCACCCTCTGCTCCACAGCCTGATTGTGGCGGTCACATGTTAAGCTGCCAGCAAGAAAGTGCTGAGACAGAGATGGTGTGTAAGACAGTTATTAGGAAATGCTCTTAGGCTCAATATTTATGGAAAGGAGGAGGGAAAAATCAAAAGTAGAAAAGAAGCTGAGTGTCAGTGCAATCTCAATGAAGGTCTCAGGGAACTCTGTGGAGAGTTATGAAACTGGAATTACTCTTTGGATGTATCCTGAGTTAAGGAGAAAAAGCCAACATTTTATACCCAATGTAGATTAGTCATGGTATGCAGAACACCCCAGAAATAGAGTTTCACCGTGGGAGAGTTGCTTAAAAAAACAAACAAAACAAAAAACAGAAAAAGAAAAGGGGGTGGGGGTGGGAAACCAGTAATACCAGAGCTAATGATCAAGGATTTTTCCAAAACATATATAAGATTTGATTTTATTTTAATGAGGATAAAATAAATCCTCAATCCTATTGCCCATGAAAACAGGAAATTGGTTGATGTCAGATTTGATTCAAAATACATGTTGTGGACATAAGACAAATAAAAATTTTAAAAAAAATACATGTTGAAAAATGAAGTCTTTCTGCAACAAGTCTAGAATCAAGATTGAGTCTCTTCCCCATTCTAGTTAATGGAATACAATAATAAAGAATAATAAACACTTTAATGCTATGACCTAAAGCTTAAGTGACTAAGATAGTAATGTGAATTCATTAAAGTAATTTTAGAGAATCAGACCTGTGTTGAGCTTATAAGGTCTCTGATGTACTTTAGTGTCCTGTGCTATCCCAGAAAACTTTTTATTTATAAGGTTTTACATTTTATTTGTTAGATTGTAGGGAGATGAAACTACTCCAGGGTCTTTGTGGAACTTTATGAAACATTACTTCCTCCATCTCTTCCTAAAGTCTCTAAAGTTTATCCTAAAATGTCTTTGCACTTCTGAGCTTATTTCTCTGTATTTGCACCCCTAACTGCAAGATATGTATATTTGTCACAGAAATGATTGCTACCCATTTTAGGTTTACTTTCTAAAGATTAAAGTTGTCAGGAAAATTAGTGACAAAGCAGAAGCAGAGTGCAAGTTTTAGCCTCTCTTACTTTGACATTCCTGTGGTCTTTGTGTCTAGGTCAGGGTAAGTTCCTGCCAAAGTATCCTGTTGCTAAGCCTAAAGTTCAGAGTGATCAGTCTAAGTTTGCTGTTGGGACATCTTGGGACTCTGAGTGCCTTCCTGGGTATATAAAAAAGTCTTTCTTTACCACCTGTCTAGAGACCTCCCAGTGGTCAGATGCTCAGCACTACTGTAAACATGAGTATTCTATAATAGAGGCGTCTTTGGGCCTATTAGTGTATCTCTGTGAGCTAACCTGTTGTGTTCATGATAAATAACCAGCAAGCTAGTAAATTATCTTAATGAAGAGGATCCTGGGTTCTGCATGTTTTCTTTTACTCCCAAGGGCATTGAGTGTTGAGGTTAAATTTTCACAGTTGGGCCGGAACCAGTTTGGCTCAGTGGATAGAGCGTCGGCTTGCGGACTGAAAGGTCCTGGGTTCGATTCCGGTCAGGGGCATGTGCCTTGGTTGCGGGCACATCCCCAGTGGGAGATGTGCAGGAGGCAGCTGATCGATGTTTCTCTCTCATCGATGTTTCTAACTCTCTATCTCTCTCCCTTCCTCTCTGTAAAAAATCAATAAAATATATTTAAAAAAAAATTTTTCACAGTTGGCCAACTCTATTTACCTGTAATCTCCATGAACTTGCTCTGTGCTCTCTGTACTGTGTTAGAGTGAGTTGTAAGTTAGTATGCAAGGAATCTTAGTTTTCACTTCATTCTTACCCCATTTAATTCAAGAGATATTTTTGAGTAACTAATAGGTTTGAAGCTTTAAGCTAGACGATGGACTTGGAGAGAACCATAAAAGTCTATTGGTCCCTTCCTGTAAAGAATTCCTTTACTAATTGTAAAGACCAACTTTAAACAAATACCGTACTATGATATAATTTCATTTATTCATAGAGATAAATTTCTATGATATCATAAAGAAGTACATAATAAATGCTATCTAAAAGAATTGTGGAAATCCAGGCATTAGAGGTAGAGGTATGAAGGTATGAAAGAACATGGTATCTGTGGAAAATAGAAAAATTCGGTGTGGTCGCAGTATGAGGTGCGTGGTGAGGAATAGTAGTTGATTAAGTAGATTGGATCTTAACCATGACAGGCCATGACTTTTTTTTTCAATCAACTATGGTAAGTCATTGTAAGATTTTAAATGTAGGTGGTGGCATGACCGCATTTGTGCTTCTGAAAGATAACGTGTGCAGTGGTAGACGTGCATAGAAGATGAAGACCAAGGGACACCAGAGTTAGAAAGGGAAATTTTGTTACTCAATGATCCAGTGAGAGATTACAGCAGTGATGACATGGTCGGTTTGGAGATTTGGGGAATTCAGTCACTAAAATTTGGTGACCAAACGAATGAAGGGCAGGGGATAAAGAATGAGGTACCGAAAGGAAATGGTGACTGTACGTTTTTTCAAATGCCCAATTCCAGAAGTTGAAAATGGAATTATGGAGTCTGAGTATAGGCATTCATCTTCCTTAAATGATACTGTTTAAGTGTAAGCCTGGTTTCACCATCAAACGCATGGTTCCGACCAAACAATAAATGGAATCCTCCACCACCCAGGTACTTGAAGGGTGAGTTGGGCTGGAAATCTGGTGATCTATAAATAAAATGAGGCTTTTGGTTGTACAGATACATTGTGGTTATGAGAAGAGGAAGAGAAAGACAGATAGTGGTTTGGTATTCCGGTTCAAGGATATCAGGTCATTCTTCCAAACTCTTGCTCTCTTCCTGTGGCTTTTTCAAAGGGGTTTAGCATCAAAGGATGACAAATGACGTACTGAGGCTGCAGTCCCTTTAGTAGAGGAACAGAATGTACTTTCACCACTTGTAGCCCCCATTGTATGTTCGAAATAGACATCTAATCATTTGTATGTTTCAGTTATTGTTCTTCTTTCAGGTACTTTTATCTCTCTGGATTCTCATTACAACCTTATAAAGCTTAATTTATACAATAGACTAGGAAACTGAGGTTTAGAGAGGGTAAGACTTGCCTAAGGTCACTCAGCCATGGAATGGCAGTGGGAATTTGAAACCAGGTCTACCGAGCCCACATTTCATTAGTCCATGGTACATGTGATTAGCATGTTGTTAACATATTATTTTCACAGCTGTTTGCCTTCAGTTTTATTAAGATTGATTAGACTCAGAATTATTTAATAAATTTTCTTTCATTGTCATGGTTTGGTCAAGATGGTACTTTTAAGTCCTATATTGATTTGTTTGCTGAGCAGCAAAAGAAAGGTAAGAATTTAGGAGCTTGGGGATAAGTAGGGACTCTGAGTCCCTAAGAAATAAATTATACAGATTTCTAAGTCTGTTTCTGATAAGGTGACATAAACTATATTTGGAGCTCTAATCTACATCTGAATCTTTTTCTTGTCATAATCAATATCACCACATATTTCCTTTTCTATTTTTCAGGGATTTTTTGTGATCCTCCTCCTCCTATCCGAAATGGTTGGAATAGTTATGCTTCTGGCTCCATACCTCTTAACACTTTGGTGAGGTACACTTGTCCCCCTAGCTACCGCATCATTGGAGAAAAGAATCTTCTTTGTATAAGTAAAGACCAAGTGAAAGGAATCTGGGATAAACCTGCTCCTACATGTGAATATTACAACAGAAGATCTACTTGCTCTGAGCCTGTAGTACCAGGGGGACACAAAGAGAAAAGATCTAGACCACCATACAGACATGGTGATTCTGTGACCTTTATCTGTGATGCCAACTTCACCATGAAAGGAAGCAAGACCGTTTGGTGCCAAGCAAATAGAAGGTGGGGGCCGACACCACTACCAACCTGTGAGATTGGTGAGTAAGAGAGAAACTCAACCTGAATCGGGAGGGTGGACCATTGCATTTCTGTGTAGGTCGGGTTTTGTATCATTCTGAACTAAGAGCAGTGTGGGTGTGTAAAGGGTAGGGGTGAGGGAGGAGGCAAGGCAAAGGGTGAAAGGTATATTTCCCTGTTTTGTTTTGTTTTGTTTGGGGGCGGGGGGCATTAGTCCTGAAGGATATAAATGTTCATTCAACAAACATCAGTAGAACAAAGAATTTTAAAGTATGATTGGAAAAAATAACTGAATATACCTAATAACTGAATTGAATAAGTGCCACAAGATAGGGGGTGCTGTGTGAATTGTGTGGTTTTAAACTATATATCTAAATTGATGTTAAAATGAGAAAAAAATGTGAGGCCTATTAGCAAAAATACACCCAATGGATATAAAACTCGTTTGTAAATAGGTGCTAGTACAATCTGGCAGTAATGATGCCTGTTCTGAGACCTCTATAAACACTTTCTGAAGTGATGCACTATTCTACCAAGTCATCTCCTCAGACACAGTGTTTCAAATCAAATGACTTTAAAGGTAAAACGGGGATGGCTGTAATAGTGTCAGCACTAAAAATAAAGTTAAGAATAAAAATAACAAGTGAGAAAGCAGAAAAATAAAGTTAGAATTATTATAAGTTCTTCATTTATTTTTATTTACTTAGGTTCATGTTGTTGCTCAATTCCAATCGTACAATTACAGGGACTGTAATGTTTAACCAACATTTCCATCAAAATTAGCTATTAATGAAGTACAATATCAATTTATTCTAAATCAATTAATGAACTGAAAAAACTATTAGAAAAATATGATTCTATCTATGTGTTTATAAATAGATATATAACCTTTGAAGTGCATAAGATCTGAAGATAATCACAATATGAGGTGACTATAGAACATAATTAAGCCATTAGAAAGACTTAGATAGTCCTATATGTATTAACATGGAAAGATATAATAAACACAGTATTAAACTAATAATTCGCATAAAATAAGATGTGAGTACACATATACTCACAATGTAAATATATATGTATCACGTATAGGATCCCATAAAACTATATTAATAATATCTAGCAGGATAAGCCCTAATAATAGCTATTTTTGAAGCAGAAAATAGCCTTAAGGGTAGCATGAGAATAATTGTGAAAATAAACTATTTTGGTAAATATAATTTTTCACAAAATAAATCATAAAGGCTTTTTTTATAATGTGTGTGTGTAAAGATTTCCCCCCAGAATGTCCACCACTTCCCATGATCCCCAATGGACATCACACAGCAGAGAATGTTGGCCTCTTTGTCCCTGGACTGTCTGTGACGTACAGCTGTGAACCTGGCTACTTGCTTGTTGGAGAAACAACCATTCGTTGTTTGTCTTCAGGAGACTGGAGTGCAGTCATTCCACGATGTGAAGGTACCCCAAATTTACAATCAGTTTTCATAAATTAGGCTATCCTGTTATTTGCCATGCTTTGAGCATCTTTGGATTGTTTCCATAGAAGCACAGTGTGACGCTCCAGGACCACTGCTCAATGGGCAGATAAAGGGGCCTGCAAGTCGTCGGACCGGTCCTAGTGACCAGTCATTCAGGTCATTCCGGTTGTTCAGTCATAACGTTCATTTAGGCTTTTATATAGAGAGATAGCTGGTTCATCAGTGATTCATATACCCTAGGACCCTGAATCTAGAAGATGAGAGTGGTATCAAGTCTGAGGCTTTCTTGTGTGTAGTACAGCTACAACCTTGTCGTTTCTCTCTAATTTCTCTAGAAATCCTTTGCCCACCACCTCCTCCTATTCTCAATGGAAGGCATACAGGCAACCCTTCAGTGAACGTTCCATATGGAAGCACAGTCACTTACACTTGTGACCCGGGCCCAGAGAGAGGAGTGGACTTCATCCTGATTGGGAAGGACACTATCCGTTGCACCACTGATAGTCAGAAGACTGGGATCTGGAGTGGTCCTGCCCCGCGCTGCGAACTTTCTACTCCTGGAATTCACTGTCCACCTCCCCAGATCCTAAGAGGCCAAATATCATCTGGGCAGAAAGATCAATATTCATATAATGACACTGTGGTATTTGATTGCTTGTTGGGCTTCACCTTGAAAGGTAGCAAGAGAATAAGGTGCAGTGCCCAAGGCACATGGGAGCCCTCTGCACCAGTCTGTGAAAAGGGTGAGTGTTCCAGGACCAAGAAAAGGTTCTACTGATTTCATCTTTTCTAAGAATTATAGGTAGTGATTTTGGGTGTAAGCAGGTTATTTTCCAGTTTGTAGTCGCTTCAATTCTTCAATATGTATAGTGTTTTCAAATTATGTAGAAGGCGTTTTTAACACTACACCCACCATTTGTTCATTTCGTAGAAGTGTCCTTGGAAAAAATAACACTAGGAACCACTAAGTTGCCCATTTCTTTATGGGAAAAATGTGTATTTGTGTTAATACTGATTTCTTAAAAGGGAGGTCATCAAAGCCCCCAATCCATGGGTATATGAGAATCTCCCATTGAGAGCATATGAGGTGATTCCTTAAGAAAGGAAGAAATGAGAGGAGGTAAAGCACCGAGTGGAAACTGAACAAAATCTGCAGCAGCCTAAGTGCAAAGAAGAGGGAAAGATCGAGAAACACGGATCCAAAATGACCCCAAGCTGGGCTGTAAGATACCTTCTGCATCATACAGCTGCCACCAGAGAGGAATTACAGTGTTAATGCCCATTTCTTTGGCTGTTTCTCCATGTTGCTGTTGTTTAGACAATAAAATTTTTTTCTTTCTTGTAGAGTGCCAAGCTCCTCAATGGGCAAAAGGAAGATCGACACGGGATGCGCTTTGAGCCTGGAACATCCATAAAATACAGCTGTGACCCTGGCTATGTGCTGGTGGGCGAAGAATCCATAAATTGTACCTCTGACGGGGTGTGGACACCCACTGTCCCCAAATGCAAAGGTATCAGGACTTGCATGCAGATGTTTTGTAGTTTTGAGATCGCTTGAGTTGATTTCTCATCCTTGCCTCTTTTTTTAAGTGGCAGAGTGTGAACCTATAGGAAAGTATCTCTACAAAAAACCTCAGAATCAATTGATTAGACCAGATGTTAACTCTTCTTGCGATGAAGGGTGAGTGAGTGCTGGCTCAGCCTGAACTGCGTCTGGCTTATCAGCGCATACTGCAGGCTCTGTGTAAGCGTTTACCTCAAAGCCCTTCCCTGGCCCGTGTCCATGGAAGTGCTAATCTTGCTAGTTTTCCATGTATGGGAACTACTCCTGTGCAATGGGTGATGGAGCGGATGCTGGCTGCATTCTGTTCCTATTGCTTCTTGTCCTGAACGTGGTGAGTCTGCTTTTGAGCCAATAGCGCTTGCTTAGTTTAATGGTCACTAGACGGCAAAATGACGCGACTCTATCTCTAGGTCCAGGTTAGGTGAGAGTGTTTATCAGCTGTGTCAAGGCACCATTCCTTGGTTTATGGAGATTCGTCTTTGTAAAGGTGAGTGACACCTATGTGTGCCCTGGGAGATTTCTGTTTTGGGCTATGCTGTGGGAATAAGAATATTAGCCTCTGTTCCATTAAATTTGTCAACAGTTTTTCTGTCTTTCTACTGTCCCCTCTATCTACTTCAAAGCATAGCAATCGCTTAATTTAAATGTTTGCAGTTAATGGTCCTCTTTTGTGATTTAAGTTTATAAGACGATGAAAGCAGAGAGTAGATGAGCCACCATGTTTAATTTTGCGTATACTCTAGTTTGGTGGGGAAAAAAGGATATTGATGTGGGATCTGATATCTTATTCTGTATCTACTGCTCCATATGAAATTGGGTGATTTATGCAATTTCTCTGTGACTCTATCCCCTCATCTGTAAAATCAGCATAAGACTTCAGACTGCAAAGTTATTGCCTACCAAAGTATATACTCAATCAACAACAAATATTCTTGGCTAAACTACTGTATCACCTCAGCACTAAAATGGCATGCAAAAGAAGCTCAATTCTATGTTCCCATGCCTTTTATTCAACTATTGTATATTTTTAAAAGAATTCTTATTTTAATTAATAATTTACTACTCATCTTTACTGCCTCACACTATAATATTGATGTACATGTTCACACTTAACAAAGATATCAATTATAAGAAATATTTCCTATGGAACCTGTTTAAATTGAATTTTGCACACATAATGGGCTTTGATATAACTCACATAACATCAGATCTCACCCATATCCTCCAGGAAATTTGATAACAACAGATTCATAACCAACTTCCTTTCTCTTCTTTGGTGTCTAAAACTGAAACAGAATGATATGGTCACTTCTCATCTCTCCAGAAATCACCTGCCCACCGCCCCCTGTCATCGACAATGGGGCACACACAGGGAGTTCCTCAGAAGACTTTCTGTATGGAACCACAGTCACTTATTCCTGTAACCCTGGGCCAGAGAAAGGCGTAGAATTCAGCCTCATCGGGGAGAGCACCATCCATTGTACAAAAGATGGTCAGGAGAGGGGCATCTGGAGTGGCCCTGCTCCTCTCTGTAAACTTTCCCTCCCTGCTGTTCAGTGCTCACGTGCCCACATTGAAAATGGATACCAGATATCGGGCAAGGAAGCCCCATATGTCTACAATGACAGTGTGACATTCAAGTGTGATGATGGATTTACTTTGAAGGGCAGCAGTGAGATTCGTTGCAAAGCCAATGACACCTGGGATCCTGAAATTCCAGTTTGTGAGAAAGGTAAACAGCCCAATGGGGAAAAATAAGGTATTTACTTATTATTCTCTTCTCCCACCCAAAACTACACTCATGGGAAAAGTCAATGCGACACAGATTACTATCCTATTGCTTTTATCTGTAACAATGTTCCATGTGTGTTGTGTATGTTCTTTATGTGAATGGCTCTTATATCCAGAATATATTCAAGGTGGATACTGAGAGGACCTGTTTAAAGAAGTCTAAAGAGCAGACAACATTCAGTAATGCATTAGAGCTTTATGATCCTTGGCTAAGATGTTTAAGATTATCTGTTGTCAAATGTTGTACTCTTAATGTTCTTGAGTATAAGTTCTTCTTTTGTTGGTATTGATGTGGGAAGTTTTTCCTTCAGACTGCCAGCCACCTTCGGGGCTGCACCACGGTCGGCATACAGGCGGAAACAGGGTCCTCTTTGTCTCTGGGATGACTGTAGACTACACCTGTGACCCTGGCTACTCGCTTGTGGGAAACAAATCCATTCACTGTATGCCTTCCGGAAATTGGAGTCCTTCTGCCCCTCGGTGTGAAGGTACGTTAGCTCCAGAGTTGCCTTCCCTTTGATAGCAAGCATGTGTGAGTAATTCCAGCTGTGCTCCTCCAGAAGCAACATGTGAGCCCACGGGAGAAGATGTTCAAGAGCTTCCAGCTGATTCGCATGTGATTCTGGTTAATACATCCTGTCAAGATGGGTGAGTATGAGAGGATCTATCCAGAGCGGGTCCCCACTTGGTTTAGTGCATTAGTTGCACCCTCAGCTTGTCTTGGTGACTCTTTTCGTGGCTCCTCAGTGCCACACTCAAGAGAATATGAGGTTCCAAAAGTCTAAGTAGCATCTCTGACTTGTTAGTTCTTTTTTATAAAAATATATTTTATTGACTTTTTACAGAGAGGAAGGGAGAGGGATAGAGAGTTAGAAACATCAATGAGAGAGAAACATCGATCAGCTGCCTCCTGCACACTCCCTACTGGGGATATGCCCTCAACCAAGGTACATGCCCTTGACCGGAATCCCAGGACCCTTCAGTCTGCAGGCCGATGCTCTATCCACTGAGCCAAACTGGTTAGGGCTGTTAGTTCTTTTTTGACATGGAAATAGCTTTGCTGTCATCTAAAGAAGTTTGCTTACTGGGAGGGTCAAGGGTTTTCATTCCTCTGTACCGAAGTTCTTATGTAGGAGTTCCTCTGTATTTGTGGTATGAGGAGGTGAGGTTTTAGAGACATGATATTGGGAAAAAGAAATGTGTGACAATCTCTCTCTAGGTACCAGCTGACTGGGCATACTTATCAGAAGTGTGAAGATGCTGAGAATGGGGTTTGGTTCCAAAAGATTCCGCTCTGTAAAGGTAAGAGATAAATTAAAGTTGTAAATGGGATAGTTGGGGATTAGAGAGGGCAGGCCACCTAAGAACTAGGCTGTAACTACCTCAACAGTCTACAGGTTCTATCTCAATGTATCTAAGATAAGAAATGCCTTTCTCAGTTTGGTCAACACACTCATTGGCAAGCAAAGTTGTCAAGTAGGAACTGAGTATTTGGCATACATCTGCTAATTACTCAAGGTTTAAAAAACACAAATATAGCCTATATTTATAGCTTATTTTTAAAATTTTTGGAATGAATATATATTATTCAGAATGTTAATAAAGCTGTTTTGATGAGAACAATGAAGGTTGTAAAGCTAAATAATTGTATGGTTATGTGTCATACATGCAGTCACATAGTTTTATTTGCATCTGAATGACGACTGTCCACCTTGGTACACTAGCTGAAGCAGCATTTCCCGAATCTCTTCTGCAGCTATTCACTGTCCACCTCCACCAGTGATTGACAACGGGAGGCACACAGGTGTGATGGCAGAAGACTTTCTACATGGAATTGAAATCTCTTATGAATGTGACCAAGGATTCTCTCTTCTGGGAGAGAGAAACATCCGATGCATAAGTGATTCTGAAGGACATGGATCTTGGAGTGCACCTCCCCCACGGTGCTTAAAACCTCCTCCTGTGGCCCACTGCCCTCACCCAGAAGTCAAACATGGATACACGCTGAATAAAACTCGTTCGTCATATTCCCACAATGACGTTGTATATGTTGCCTGCAACCCTGGTTTCATCATGAATGGCAGTGACTTGGTTAGGTGCCATGCCAATAACAAATGGGTGCCAGGTGTACCAACGTGTATCAAAAAGGGTAAGTTATTTTTGATAATTAACTCAGGGGTTTTGCTCAGAATAAGGAAACAGTTTTTAAATCTGCACTTGCCATTTGAGCTAAAGAAAAGCGTGTAACTGCTAAGACAGTTATATTGTTTTATAAGACACCTGCCTAATCTTTTTGCCCAATTCTTTTTCCCCCCTTTTCCTTTCTAAGTAAGGCGAGAAAAAGTACATGAGAGGATAATGTGATAGTGTCTACAAAATTTATTGTTTTCATTAATTTAGAATAAGAAAAATGGACCTATCTTATTTTGGGGCAAATGTTGGCAATAGTATTGTTTGGTAATTTGCTATCTAAGGCCAAAATACCAGCCAGTATTTCAGTATGTTCTTTAGAGTGAAGCTGACTTTTAAACTCATTGAATTATCTTTCCATAATATAGTTATCATTTGGCACTTTTATACACTTGTAAGTTATAAGTGCTTACAAGTTTGACTGGGACCTCTAAAACTATGTTAAGCAAACTGTTATAACAGTTAATATTTGCATTTAACCTGAGAAATCCCTGATTATACTGAGTGTATTATTTTTTTTAGTTGGTGAGCTACTGCAATTTATTGAAAGTGAATTTTTTTTTTTAAGTCCAGTGAGTTGTTACATAAGAAATAAAGAAAAAGTGGGTAGAATCCAGGCTTCCAATATACCTTTTCGAGTAGACTTAGAGGAACTGGGGCTGAATGGGACATTGCCATGGGGCTTTGGACTACATTGAATCATGCAGCTACCAGTAGACTAATATGTTTATGATTTTGGATTCTCCTTAGGGTCACTTGCTCCTCTTCTTGGTGGTAAGTCTTCCTAAATACTTTAAGTATGTATATATATTTGTGGACCTATAACTCACCCTTCACTTTAACTTACAGAAAAGTACCTAGGGTGTTTTAAGAATGTTTTAATGTACCCTTTACATTACAAACGTCACTTTTGAATATCATTAAATAAATGTTTTTGAACAGCCAGCTATTTCTAATTTTTAAGTTGAAAGTTTGGTTTACATTAACTTTTGATCTTTTGCATGATTTGGTACTATCAAACTAGGCTGGCTTATTCTGCAGTAGCAAAATACCTTTCACAATTGAGAATTAAATGTTGTTATGCAAAGTCATGGGACCCTGGTGTCCTGAGATCATAATTTTATCCCAGTGACTGGAATATTGCTAATAAAACTGAAAGGAACAGAAAAGCCCAACAGAACTTAACTGGAACCCTGTGGTCAAATGCTTGGTGCTTTAGATGAAATGTGGACGAGATTGAATCAGAAAAACCTTAAGCCCAAGAATCATTATTTAGGAATTCACTATTTACATGGCTCAGAAAGGATAAGTATAAAAGTAACATACCATACTCCCCTTCACTAGGAATAGGCCCCACAATCACTTCAAAACTATATAGGTCACATTTTTCTTGAATTTGATACTTGCTGTTTTGTTTTCTAGGTCTTTCTGCAGGTTTCGTGGTTCTTATCTGCTTGGTTAGTGTCACCTTGTACATGATATTAAAACACAGAATACAGTAAGTTCAATGCATGCTTCACCAAAGCACAAAAGGTTTTGGCTTCTTCTGCGTTAGGGAGGGTAATCAGGTGAAGTCTCAGCAAGTCTCAGATTCTACTGGGGAATGACTAAGTCACGTCACCCCAAACATGTAACCCACAAACTCCAGCAAATTTTCTTTAAAATACCAAGTCACCAAGTGCCATCTGCTTACATTGATCACAGTTATATGATACCTACTGTAGGCATCAAACAAAAAAGGGTTGCATTGAAATTATGCAATGGTGACATCTATGAACTGAGTAGTTTGTTCTAAGCCCGAGAAGGCCTGAGCACAGCAAGGTCTACAGTTGGGATGTACTTTAGACTGTCGTGTTTACCAGAGGATGGTGTTGTGAATGAACTCAGGAGAGAGGGCATTCTGCGATAAAGTAAGATTGGGAAATACTGCATACTGTATTTTTCTCATGGGGATTCACAATCACCAAAAGAATAATTGAAGTCCTATAATACAAAAGCCAGTTTCGTGTTTTTTAAGCCAGTAATTCCCAAACTAATTGGATTACACAATTCTTTTGTTTTGTTTTTTTCTTCTCACATAATGCTTTTAACAACCCTTGGGACTAATATTCCATTTCATAGACATTTGGGAAATCTAGGAAGGTGGTCAGGAGCTAGATTATCAAAAGCCTTCAGGCCATAACAAGGAATTAGGGTGTAACCTATAGGAACTTAAGCAAGCAAAAAAAATATATTCAGCCCAGCCAGCGTGGCTCAGTGGTTGAGCATTGACCTATGAACCAGGAGGTTCGATTTCTGGTGAGGGCAAATGCCCAGTTACGGTCTTGATCCCCAGTGTGGGGCATGTAGGAGGCAGCCGATCAATGATTCTCTCTCATCATTGATGTTTCTGTCTCTCTCTCCCTTTCCCTTCCTCTCTGAAGTCCATAAAATATATTAAATTTGTTTTTAAATATGTTCAGATTCGCATTTTTAAAAGAAGGGGTAGGGTTGGGCCATCAGCCGAAGCAGCAGTGGCAGGGGTCCAGAGGATGGAGCAGAGGCAGGACGCATCTTCACTGTTGAGAGCCCAGGATTTCCAGGACTGAGTGTCGTGTAGAAAGGAGGGAGAAGGGGGCGCAGAGAACGAGCCAAGTGGAGGTCATTTGATGGTCCCAGTGTTTCACCAAAAGAGGGAAAGGGCAGGTTGTGGGGAAAGATGGTGAGTTCCGTGCTGACCTTGCCACTTTCTGGCACTGAAAACCAATCCCAGAAGGACAGTAATGCTTAAAAGGCAGGAGGGGAAGGAACGGTCAGAAGTAGGAGGAAAGTTAAGAAACAGCTGTTTCACTCAATTCAAGGGAGTCTCAAGAAAAAAATAGGGATGTCATTTGTATGGCTTTTCCTTGAAGGAAGTTAGAAGATAACTTTAGCCAAGAGTAGTTATAAATTTAAATAAATAGAGAATGTGGTTTCTATGTCTTTTCTATCTCCTAACTTTGCTCTCAGAGCATCTCGTCTGAGAAAAATTTCCAAACTTTGAGAATGCCTGCAAGCTCATTTGACTTTTTTCTATTGGTAATAATTAAGTTTATTAACATGATTATATCAATACTGGATATAAGCGCCTATGTTGATATGAACCAAATATGTTACACTAAATTGCTTAGCATCACTCTCATTTTACTTCTACTTTCTAACCCACTTCAATTTCTTTTCTGATAGTTGATACAAACATTTCAATCACCTTAATGACTTTTTGTAAATGAGATGAATAATCATTTAAACATGGATGCTTAGTAACTACACTAAATATTTATAAAAGCCATCTAACATTTGAAGAAAAGACTGCTAATTTTTTCTAGTCATGTAAGATATTTTAATAAAATCTGAACATCATAACTAAAAAGTATCATTTTTTATATATTATTTATAATTTGACCTCTTAAATATGGTAGCTGGGGACATTCTGTAAGTAACCCTAGAAGTAAGCTTTCTTTCCCAGTAATTTTGTAATACTTTATTTCAGAGTTCTACATGGTAGGATTATCACATTTTCTTGTCTTTTGCTAATTTTAGCAAACTGGTTTTAGAAGCAAAGTAGATATGCCGTCAAAGAGGAAAAGTAAAACTGTCCTCTTAAAAATCATTTAAAGGGTTAGTCATGTAGGACCCTGTAAGGATTTTGAATTAAACATCCAATATAAAAATTTTCTCTTAAGTTAGATTGGGAGATTGTGTCCCAAGTAGGTAAATGTATGATCACATCTTAAAATAAAAGCTTCTTTTGTTTTTGTTTTAAACTGGGGTCCATAGTTATTGGTCATTTAGAGTTCTAGGTCTGAGATAAAGCTGTGTAATGTCAACTTCTGACCTAGACACTTAACAGCCTAGCAAATTATTTGTTTTTATGGGCCTTTCCAAAATTGGGGATTATAGTGATTATTTCACAGGCTACTTAGGAAAATAAAATGGACTCATCCCTGAAAAGTGCTCACCATGTGTTGAGAATTATGGAAAGAAAACAACTGCTATATCTTTACAGCAATTATGGCAGGAGTAAACATTTTACTTTTTCTTCCTTCTTCCATTTAGCAATGATTATAGACATAAAAGCCTCACAGAAGAAGATCTTCATTTAGAGACACGAGAAGTATATTCTGTTGATCTACACAACCCAGCAAGATAACCAGAAGGTAAATGGATATCTAATGAAATTGAAATATTTTATTAATTTCTATGTAAAAATGTCCTTCTATTCATACTTATCAAAAAGCATAATGCTAAATATATATGGTTCCACTGCACAGATTTTAAAATCATGCATATAGCCCTACATGGTTTGGCTCAGTGGAGAGTGTTGGCCTGCAGACTGAAGGGTCCTGGATTCGATGCCAGTCAAGGGCACATGCCTGGGTTGCGGGCTCGATCCCCAGCAGGGGGCGTGCAGGAGGCAGCCGATCAATGATTCTCTCTCATCATTGATGTTTCTCTCTCTCTCCCCCTCTCCATTCCTCTCTGAGATCAATAAAAATATATTTAAAAAATAAAAGAAAATCATGCATATAAATCATGAATTTACCTATGTCATATTGTCAACTAATTAATTCCCTGTTTTTTTAATATAGTCAAGCAACAAATATTTAAGAGTAAGGAGGAAATCCAAGTAAATGTTTTTAAGAGTGGAGAAATGACAGCTATGCTGCGATTCCTGTGTGCTGATAAGAATGATCTGGGAGAAAGTGGGAAAATACTGGCAGGGAAGGAATGGCAGAATGGCTGGAGCTGTGTCTGGGTACGCTAGAAGGAACGGAGTCTAGTGCTAAAGCAGGGAGTGTAGACCTGAGGTAGGAGTGTGGCCTTGGGAACCAGAGGGAAAGCAGAACATGTGGGTGCAGATGAAGGCAGCTGGGGAGATGTGGTGGTGAAGGCATCTGTGGAAGTTCTCTTCTGATGATTCTGTTCCCACAGTGAATAGAAAGTAAAATGATCAGCTGATAAGAAGGTTGAGAAATATGATAGGGATTTAAGGAAAAAGGAGGCATTAAATAGCCACCATGCATTGGCAGGCGACATCAAGGGTCCCTGTGGTTGTCAGGAGAACATGGGAGTGAACACTTGAAGGTTTATTATACCCAGGCATTATCCTGAGAGTCGCTCATGCCTTATCTTACTTAGCCCTGACTACAACACTGAACGGTAAGGAGTGTCCCAAGATAATACCAGGGTGAGCACATAAAACCCAAGATGAGAAAGCCAAGGTTAAAAATTTCTCTTGGCCAAGGTTTTGGGGTCAGTAAGAGGCAAAGGTAGAATTCAAGCTCAAATATGTCTTATATGCTTTGTCGTATATAATCTGTAAGGTAAAGATACCACCTCTGTCTTCTTAGAGCTTATTTTAGTTTATAAAATATACTGACATACATGTAACATACATATCAGGGAGTAAGAACATAGACCATGAACAAGATACAGAAGAACTGCTGTGGCAATGGGGAAAGAAATGTTGGCTTGCTGCTGGTGCGTCATAGGAAAAGCAAAGAGGAGAAGCGGGGAGGCCATGCCAGAGTGACCTCTAAATCCAAACCTGTGGGGATCCAAAGTAAAGCTATCACATCAGTATCTGCTCAGTGAATGTGTGAATCAAGGAGAATGAGACCGTCGCTTCAGTTTCTCCCGCACTTTTATTCATATTTATCAATATAAAATGTGTTAATTGCTCCATATCCTATTCTCTGAGAAGGATCTCTTAATGGGATAATATTTTTAAATAGGCTCGATGCTTTATTGGTTATAGTACTTACAATTGGTCTATACAGAGAATGTTAACATTCCCGTTATTTAAACTTTGACTTGTACTAATGCTGCCTCCTAACCAGGAACTCTTATTTCAGTGTGCCTTCGTGCTTGGAATGCAGCTGAACACGGGTTGGAAAGAAACCATTTGAATATCAGCAAGCCTTTCTGTATGGGCTCCACATCACCGAAATGATGTCTTAAGCTGTAACTTCCTGTTTGCACTTATTCTCGAGCAGCACAAGGAACGTTTGCTGGATGAGAAAGACGGGAGCCCAGTGTCACTGCCACCTGCTCTTCAAGGACTTTCTGAAGCCTCGCCTGTGACGTGCCTGGAGCCAGGCTTTGGCTATAAGCAGTTAGTAGCTCTAAGGAGTCATCTTTTCTAGGAAGGAACTAAAGTGAACTGTTTTTATATGCAGACTCTTCCTTTTTTATAATCAGCATACTTACTGTTACCACATACTTTTGGTTATAGTGTGGTTTTAATTATTTAGTCATAGCATGAAGGATTTCCTGTGGTTTTCATGGGCATATCTTTATAGAGAAGTCTGATTTTATTTTAATAGTGGTTTTTCTTCTCAGAGAGAGTTAAACATTTCATTTTAATTTCCACTTGGTTTCAGGTTTTCTCACACTATATACTTTGTGTTTCCATAATCACTCAGTAACTCCAACTCAAACAAGTTTTCTCTTTTAATTATAGGAGTGAAATTTTAATTCCAAAGTCTTTGTGTACAATTTAATCTTTAGATATATTCTTGGTGCTTTTGTCAGAACATCTGGTTGCTTGTAAAATGTCATTTCAAATAAATTTTATCTTTAAAAAAATACCTGGTATGATTCTTTATGCCATTGGGATTTTGATAGGGATTGCATTCCTTCTTCAGATTGCTTTAGGTAGTACAGTTAGTTTAACAATGTTGATTCTCCCAATCTGTGAAGATGAAATATCTTTGCATTTCTTTGCATCTTCTCCAGTTTCTTTAAAAAATGTCGTATAGCACTGGTCCGTGTGGCTCATGGGTTCTTCTCCTGTGAGGACCTCAGGTTAAGGGGCAGACATTAGCTCCACTCCATAGGTCAGCTTACAATACCCGATTTAGGAAAGTTTTCTCTGCAGGCACTTGCAGCTCATTCCTTTTAGAGATAACTCCCGCTTTGTTCCTGCTAGTGTCTAAAATTATTGTAATCATCATCTTTCAGAAATTTCCCAGGATTTGGCACATCCTTGCTGTTGGAGAATGGGCAGAGACATGTTAAATGCAGTTGACAGCGACACCCACTTATTTTACTCAGTATTTAATAGGCAATCATTATGCACCTACTATAGGCTAGAACAGCCTGGGCACTGGAGAAGAAGCAAGAAAACTCTACCCTTGCCTCATGTAGCTTGTCCAGAAAACTAGGCAACATGGCTCAGAACATATCAATTGGAGCCTCAAATGGGTCAAATCAAAGTAAGTTAAAGAAATCAAGGTGAATGTCTTCCGTTATATTAAGAATGGCTTGATGGACACCAGGTGTAGAAATTTCACTGGTTGAAAGTTCCAGTAAAACCTCAGTCCTTTAATCTAGCACCTGTAACTAGGTTACCAAACTCAAGCCATACCTTTTCCCTATCCTTTAAATTTTCTAACAAGAAAAAAACTTATTTCCAAGCCTCGAAGTAAATGGGAAAGGTTTTTTTTCCAGCTTTATTGAGATATAATTGACACAGAACACTGTGTACAGATGATTGTAGAAAACAGTAAATACAAGGGTGGGCAAAAGTAGATTTATAGCTGTGAGTACACAAAACACCCTTGGGATTGGATAAAAAATAAAATGATAAGACACGTCCTTCTTTTACTTAGGTGAGTGCAGGATGGTTAGTAAACAGTGAAATCATCATCTTGGTGATTTTGAAATCTCACAGGCTTCGATGGGACTCCGCAGCAGACATTCCACCACGGAAACCTCCGCTGTTGTCCCTAATAATGCCTCATTCGTGCAAAATTTGAGCAAGAGCCCTGGCACTTCTGACCGCCTGGAGGCCCCAGGACAAAAGTGGAGCCCTAAGGGGTGCTGGCCACTAGGCGGCCCACTAGGCTCTGGGTTTCTATTTTCAGGCCGATGCGCTTTATTCTTTTTTTCCGGGAGTTCCCACGGCTCGTTTTCTTTCCAGAGCTCCCCACAGGCTTGGTGAGAACCCAGCAAGCAAGGGGCGAGCAGCTTTCCCCCAGGTGCTCACCCGCCCAGGCGGGCGCCGGCCCCGCCCAGCCCCGCACGCCGCGCCGGTCACGCCCACCTGCGGCTGCTGACACTTTGAGTCTAGCGATTGTTGCGTCTGGTGCCCGCGGTCACGGAGGTAAGTGCACGCTGCCCCTGAGGATTCCCGCGGGCCTCCCGCAACATGACCCGGTCCTGCGAGCCGCGCAGGGCACCTCCCCGCCCCCCCGAGAGTCCCTCTTCTTCTTGGTGCTTCGTGGGGATCACTTTGGTGACCCTAGTGCTCCAGTTACCCCCATCCCTTGGTAGGAACCTAGAGAGGGTCTGCGCTCCGGAAACGAACTGGAGAAGGTTGGGGAGCGGGCTGGAGGGTGCCGAAGGCGGGGGTGGGGGTGGCGGGAGCGGGGAACAGGGGAGGAGATTCTCTTGGTGGGTCAGGGTCAGGGTCAGGGTCCGGTGGGAGGCGCAGGGCTTGGCCCCGGCTGGTGCGGAGCTGGGGTAGAAGGCTCAGCCACAGATCCTCAGGTTGTGCTGGGGCGGTGGGTCCCTGTAGTGGCGGCGATGAAGGCTGCTGGGTGGTCGGCACTGAGCTTTGCGGGATGCTGGGGCGCCAAGGTGTTTGCGGGGGACGAGGGAATGCCTCCAGCTGAAGCTGGCAGGTGTTTGTGCACGGAGTCGCTCGGGATGGGGAGCCCTCACCTGTGCTGCAGACGAGGGCTTGCTCTGGAGGGCCCTGCGCGTGGGGATGTTGCTGGGGCCCGAGCTGTGCCCGGGAGGGGTGTGTGCGCTGTGCTCCCTGGGTGTGGGGATGCCCGGCTGAGTGGAGTGTGGGTGCCCGGCCGCGCGGGGCTGGGGGAGCCTTGGCTGGGTGTGGCCTGGTGTGCGGTTTGTGGAGCGCGGCGCCTGGAAGCTCGCTGCTGGCTTTGTACCGGGGCTGGGAGCGCACGTGGAATCCTTGAGTGAGAATAGCCCTGCGTCCTCGGATTTAGGATTGGGAAGGGCGCGCAGTGCCTTTTGTACATAAAGGTTACAGGCTCATTGTTGCCCCCAAGTCGTATTGGTATTTTGTCGTCCCCCCCCCCTCCCCTAGGCCCCCCATTAGATTGGGTCCTATCTAGGGAAGATTCGGAAGCAACCGAAGAAAACATTGGTAGCTAAACCTAGTGAGAAATGAGAATCGTAAGAAATGAACAGTAAGCAATGGTACTATTGTACAGCTCATAAACTAAAGTTACTAAACGCTGAAGGCCATACACTGCGACGTTTCATGGAATCTAATGAGTTATGTTATATAAACACTTACTATTAAAAGCACTTTTATTGTATAAAAAGACATATTAGGAATCCTCTTTTCTTTATATGCTTTCAGTTACTGAGATTGCATCAAAGGTTGCTTGCCTAATTTAATCATGCTGTTGTGTGCTTTCTTTCTTGCTGGTCCCAGGAAATTCTAGAGTGATCTTATGCCTTTGGATGAGAACAGAATTATATAGAATTTCTAGCTATTTGTTTTCCTATTGTAAATGGGAATGTCTCGCTCAGGGTATTCAGCAAATGTTCATAAAACCAACCTCTCAAGTAATCCTCTTGTAAAAAATTACGAGGGCTTTAGGGTTGCATCGACTTTAGGGCATGATGGCAATGAAATGTTGGACTGGGTATATGGAATTTCAGATTTTTAGAATATGATACGAAAGAAGAGTAAAATTTGACTTGTTTGGAATACTCCTGACTGGTCTCACCATCTGAAGTGATAACAATCCCGGGTGTCAGACAGGAGGAAGGTTCCTCCGGGATCAGAATGGGTCTATCTCCTTTTTTTAAAGATCCTTCCGGCAAATAGGAAAGACCCCTGATTCTTTTAGCCCTGTAGGACTTTACTTGATGTGTCTCCATCACATTATTTTACATAATTGTTCTAACACATTTTTTTTAGATTTTCAAGCCCACAGGTAAAAAAAAAAGAAGAGAAATTACTGAAATGAAAAGGCTGAGGGGGGAAAAAGACTTCTTAGAAGAGAATTGAGTTTTGAAATGAATTTCAAAAGAAATGGGGAATGATGCATACCTATATGGTGTATCTTTCAGACCTAAAACACTGATATTTGCTTCCTAAATTTACTGATGAATAAAAATCCAGCTCATTCCCCAACAAACCAAAAGCGAATACAATGCTATTTAAAGCAAGGGCAGCACATGGCCCACTCCTAAGACCCTTGGGTGAAAGCAGGGAACAAGTCTTTAAAATCTTACCAAGTAGCTTTCCATTTATTCTGGACTACCCAGCTGCTACCATGCCACAGTCCCTGGCTGGTCAAGGAGATTAAATATTTCATTTTTATGCTTATATTTCCTTACTTTTAGGTGTCTGTGGTAAACCACCAGTGTTTCAATCTATGAAGTTAAAGGTTCCCCCTCAACCTGCATATTTACCTGGGGAGAAAGTATATTATCAATGTAATCCAGGCTATTATTATTCCTATTTTTATGGCCTCAGCACCTATTGTGAGAAAAATGACTCCTGGTACCCTATTGATGAAGCTTGTTACAGTAAGTAAATAAAACCTTTCTTTTTTTGTATGCATGTGTGCTCGCCCTGGTGGTGCTGGTGTTGCTTTTAACACATGCTTGGATTCGTTTCCCAATGTGGCAATGATGGTTTTCTCATGGGAAACGAGGTTTTAGATAGCAAGACAGGTGTTTAGGCTTTGACAAATCTCCCGGGGAAGTTTTTTGTAGGCGTGGTTTGGGTCAATGTGAGTTTATGTTTTCCCTTCTAATAGTTAACTCCAGCAAATACTACTGCATGAATGGACAACAGCGGTGTAGAATTATTTTTATTAAAGCTGTTTTGAAATTTGTATAAAAAAAATGAATTTGCAAATTTTCTTCTAGAAAAACAATGTCCAACTCCCAAGGTTCCTAACGGTGAAGTGTATGAGCAGTATGAACCACAAACAGGCTTTCAGTTTGATAAAGATGCTTACTTTTATTGCAACTATGGGTAAGTGGCCCCTTAGAGAAAAGAAGGTAAGTGTTACCGGTTCAATATTGTTTTTCTTCTCTTCTTAAACCAGTGGTTCTCAACCTTGGCTGCACATTAGAATCACCTGGGAATCTTTTTAAAATCCAATCAGGGTTTTAAAAAGATTCCCAGGTGATTCTAATGTGCAGCCAAGGTTGAGAACCACTGTCTTAAACATTCCCATAAAGTTGATTTCGCCTGCTTTCTGTGTGACAAGTTGCACTTGCAGCCAATCAACTCCCGGGCTTTTTAGGGAGACTGAAAACATAGGGACTTAATAGAAACTTAAAGGAAAGCCGAATTGCATAACCCTTGCTATAGGTAACAATCAGCTTATTGTAAGCATCACAAATGTAGTAATCATGGTGACTTCATCCTTGACAACAACATGCACCCTATTCAAAACAAAACAAGTCTCAGAGTTGAAGGAGGGCTCACAGAAATGTGTTGTTGAAGTCCTTTCATTCTTTACATACTTTCTATCTGGTGGCTCTATACTCTATTGTGAGTGGGGTATTGAAGTCTGTAACTATTATGGTAGAAATGGCTGTTATGTAGAAAGGTGTGTTTCTCTAGTTCTGTTGCTTCCTATATTTTGATGATCTGTCATTGGGTGTCAATGTTTATAACCGTTTTATCTGCTTGTTAGGTACCTTTTATTAATAATACTTAAGGTCCTTTGTCTCTTGTAAACTTTTTCATTTTGAGTCTGTTTTACCTGATACTAGTACAGCCACTCCCGCTTTTGGGGGGGGATACTGTTTGCATGGAATATCTTTTTCCATCCATCAACTGATTTTGTCTTTGGATCTCAAATGAGTGTCTTGTAGACAACATATAGTAGGATTATGTGTTCATTCTGCCAACTTCCTTCTTGTGATTAGAGAGTTGGTCATTTAAATGTAAACTTGTGACAAGGAGGGACTTCTGCCTTTGTGGTATATGCTTTCTATATGCCTGGTAGCCTTTTTGGTTCATTTCCTGAATTACTGTCTTCCTTTTATGTTAATTGTCTTTTTTGTAATGAAATGTTAAAAATTATTCCTCATTTCTTTTTAAGTATATTCTATTGCTATTTTTTGTGTGGTAACCATGGGGATTACATTTAAAATCCAAAAGTTATATCAATCTAAATTGGAATTTATACCAGTTTAATACACAAAAGCTTAACTCCTTTATAGAGTCATAGCCACCCCATTTGTTGTTACTGTCTCAAAATTGCATCTTTTTATATCCTTTTAAATGCATTATCTCTTAACTTATATACAAAACAAGATTTTGAGTTAAAAAACAGTTACAGGCCTGGCTGGTGTGGCTCAGTGGTTGAGTGTTGACCTATGAACCAGGAGGTCACAGGTTCGATTCCCAGTCAGGGCACATGCCGGGGTTGCAAGCTTGATCCCCAGTGTGGGGCTGCAGGAGGCAGCCAATCAAAGATTCTCTCTCATCATCTCTCTCATCTCTCTATCCCTTTCTCTCTCCCCTTTCCTCTCTGAAATCAATAAGAAATATATATATTTTTAAAAGTTACAGTACTGCTAGTTTTTACACTAAAAATTTTTTCTTTAAATGTATTATCTCTTAAATTGTGAAGAGAACAAAATTATGGTTACCAACTATTTTTAAAACAATACAAGCTTTTATAATGGCCCATGTATTTACCGTTAGTGAGAAGTTTATTTCCCATATGGGTGAAAGTTACTTTCGAGTGCCCTTTTATTTGACCTTGGAGGACTCCTTTGAAAATTTCTTATAGGGAAGTTCTAGTGGCCACAGGCTCCCTCAGCTTTGGTTTACCCTGGACTGTTTTCATTCCCCCTTCACTTTGAGGACAGTTTTGCTGGGTAAAGTATTTTGGGTTTTGAGTTGTTCTTTTCTTTTAGCACTTTTAGTATACCTACCCACTGTCTCTGGGTTCCAAATTTTCTGGTGATATACTGATTATATTATTAAGAACCCCTTGTATGTCATGATTTATTCCCTCTCCTAGTTCAAGATTATTTGTCTTTGGTTTTTGAGTGTTTGATTACAGTAGTCCTTATGTATCATTGGGGGATTATTTCCAGCACACCTCCCCACCCCCCTACTGATACTAATCCAAGTCCCTGGTATAAAAGGACATAGTATTTGCACTTAACCTATAGACATCCTCCTGTGTACTTTAAATCACCTCTAGACTACTTATAATACCTAATACAATGTAAAGGCTGTATAAAATAGTTGTTACACTGTATTGTTTATGGAATGATGACAAAAAGAAATCTGTACTTTTTAAGAATATTTTCAGTTCTTGGTTGGTTAAATCCACAGATGTAAAACCTACAGATCTGGAGCGTCTACTGTATTGTGTCTTAGTGTAGGTCATTTTGAAGTCATTTTACCTGGTGGTTATTGAGCTCTTGGGTGTTTATATTCCTGTCTGTTATCAAACTTGGGGAGCTGTGAGCCTTCATATTCTTTATATATTCTTTTTGCCCATTTCTGTCTTCTCATTTTGGAATTATCACAATGTGCATGTTGGTCCACTTGATGGTATCCCACAGGTCCCTTAAGCTCTGTTAACTTTTCTTCATTTTTTTTCTTTCTGTTCTTTAGACAATTTTTATTGTCCTAACTTCATGTTCACTGATTCATTCTTTGGCCTGCTCAAATCTACCTTTAAAACCTCTAGTGAATTTTTCAAGGCATATTGTACTTTTGAATTCCAGAATTTCTTTTTGTTGTTTTTTTCTGTTTTTTTTTTATTCATCTGCTTATTGATATTTCAGTTTGTTCACACATCATTTTCTTAACCTTCCTTCATTGTTTTCATTTAGTTCTTTGTGCATCTTTCAGAGTTATTCTGAAGTCTTTGTTTAGTGAATCTGCCATCAATGCCTTTATCAGAGACAGTTTGTTGATTTTTTAAAAAATGGATCATACATGCCTCTTTCTTGGCATGCCTTGTGATTCATTTTATTTTTGAATTTGTATTGAATCTAATAATGTGGTAACTAGAAATCAGCTTCTTTACCTTCCTTAGACCTTGCTATTTTTTGGTATTGTCTTTGGATACATTCATTGAGGATCAACCCGACATATAAACTGAAGGTCTTCTCAGGTTGTTTCTGAGCCTTTCCCTGAGCACATGCACCCAATTTCTAATTTTCTATATATATGTAGTTCTTTTTGAAGATCCTGGTTTTTATTGTCTGCCTCCTGAGAGAGGAAAAGAAAAATATGTAATGGAGAGAAAAGGGTGCAGGATCTTTAAATCCCCTGAAAGTCGTTTCAGCTGGGGAAGAAAGGGCCAGCTAGAGAAGCAGATGCTACAATGGCCTCCCATCTCTTTGTCCACTTCTCTGTGATCCACAGCAGTAATCAGAACACAGTTTTCTGATATTTGTAGGGCAGGGCCTTTTTGCCCCCCTGGCTCTTGCAGGCTGCTTGAGGAATACATACACAGCTGCCTGCCACATTGTGGATGGTGGGGGATGTATAGCTGCTATTTTCCCAAGAGCTGAAATTTACTGAAATTATGTTTACTTGTTGGAGTCTTTCCCTGGAAATTTCAAGCCCTCAATAGACAAGTTCAAAAATAGTTAAATCAAGCAGATCCTGCTATTGAAATTGTTGTCTAGTTGGAGTGACAAAGTCCTACTCTGCCATCTCCTCAGAATTTTCTCTGAAAACACTAAAATATGGAGAAAATGAGTGAACCTTCTGAAACTGTACAAACCGTTTCACTATTTTTTAATTTGATCAAGTAAAAATAATGGAACATCCATTTAATAGTTATACACAGAGCGACTGCTAAAGCATTTTGAGGGGTACCAAACATTTAAGACACAGATTTTTTCTCTCAGAAATTGTATCTTTATTGAGAAATACAATATAGACAGAGAGATGTGACGGCAAAATAGTAAAGGAGAAGTACCAAATAGTAGTTCATGATTATTGCAATGAGAATCCAGAAGGAAGAGAGTACTGTGAATTTAAGTAATCAGAGATTTCATCAAGTAGTATGTCTGAGCTATCCTAAGAAACACATCCTGATTTAAAGAATACATGCATACCTCGTTTTATTGTGCTTTGCTTTATTGCACTTTGCATATATTGCATTTTTATCAATATCCAAGCATAACACTCCACCGGCAAAAAAGTCACAACTTGGCTGAAGGCTCAATGATGATTAGCTTTTTTTTTTATTAAGCATAAAGCATTTTTTTAAAATATATTTTATTGATTTTTTACAGAGAGGAAGGGAAAGAGATAGAGAGTTAGAAACATCGATCAGCTGCCTCCTGCACATCCCCCACTGGGGATGTGCCCGCAACCAAGGCACATGCCCTTGACCGGAATCGAACCCGGGACCTTTCAGTCCGCAGGCCGATGCTCCATCCACCGAGCCAAACCGGTTCCGGCAGCATAAAGCATTTTTAAATTAAACTATATACATTCTGTCTTTAGACATAATGCTATTGAACACTTAATATACTACTTTATAGCATAAATATAACTTCATATGCACTGGTCAACCAAAAGTTTTGTATGATTCGAGTTCTTGTGATAATCACTTGATGGTGGTGGCCTGGAACCGAACCCATGATATCGCTGAGGTATGCCTGTATCAATAAGAGCTAAAACTTACCTAGCACTCACTATTAACTCATCTAATACTCAAAACAGCCCCATGACATATATACTATTATCTCCTCTTCATAGATGAGGAATGTGGAAAGGGAAACACGAAGGGACTTGCCCAAGCTCAAATAACCAGTCAATGCGAGAGCTGGGACTCGAATCCAGTAGGCAAGCTCCAGAGCCTTGTCTCTGTACTGAGTTGGCAAGCTCCAGAGCCTTGTCTCTGTACTGAGTTGTGGTGTGACTGAGCAGAATGGAAGGAGCAAAGCCATGGAAATTAATGTGTCATGACAGATGTATTTAGATATCTTTGCTCTTGGCCCATGTGCGTGCAAATGCAGAGACTGTTTAATTAAATTCCAGATTTGGTTAGAACTTTCATGATAGTGTGCTATTTAAGAAAATTCCCCCTCAACTTATTATAGTGCAGAAAACAACTTATATGAAATGTTCCTCTTTATTATGTACATCTTGTTAACTGGTAAATAAAACAGTAACCTTTTTTTCCCCCTTCATTTAGTTATTTCTTAAAAGGTGAACCAATTTTAACTTGTAAACTTTCTGGAGACACAGTGTATTGGGGCGGTGATATCCCAACATGTGAAAGTAAGTAAATTTCCACTTTAGAATTTAGACCAGCAATTCTCAATATTTTTGGCCTGGGGGACCCACTTATGCTGATTTTTTAAAAGTAGAGTATAATTGATATATAATAGTATATTAGTTTCAGCATAGTGATTCGTTTATTTATGTGCCTTACAATGTAATCACTATGATAAGTATAGCAACCATTTGTCACTATTCAAATGTATTACATTATTATTGTACTAGAGGCCTGATGCATGAAATTCATGCAAGAGTAGGCCTTCCTTTCCCCATCTGCCAGCACTGGCTTCCCTCACAGCCCCGGCTTCATCCGGAAGGACGTCCGGTCTAATTAGCATATTATGCTTTTATTATTATAGGTTACCTGTGCTATGTATTACATCCTGGTGACTTGATTCATTTTTTAAAATATATTTTTATTGATTTCAGATAGAGGAAGGGAGGGAAAGAGAGATAGAAACATCAGTGATGAGAGAGAATCACTGATTGGCTGCCTCCTGCATAACCCATACTGCTGACCAAGCCTGCAACCCGGGCATGTGCCCTGATCTGGAATTGAACCATTACTCCCTGGTTCATGGGTCAAAACTCAGCCTCTGAGCCACACTGGTCTGGCATTGATTTATTTTATAACTGGAAATCTATACCTCTTATTCCCCTTCTCCTTATTTACCCATCCTCCCAGCCCCCTTTACTCTGCAACCATCAGTTTGTTCTCTGTATCTATAGGTCTATTTCTATTTGGTTTGTTTCTTATTTTAGATTCCACATGTCATAAAATCATGTGGTATTTTCTTTCTCTTTCTGACTTATTTCATTTAGTATAATACCCTCTAAGTCCATCAATGTTATTGGCAAATGATGAGATTTCATTCTTTTTTTTTTGTCTGATAATATCCCATTGCATATGGATGTATATTTGTATCCTATCTAATAAAATAGTGATATGCAAATTGACCATCACTCCAACACACAAGATGGCCACCACCAGATGGCCGGCAGGGGAGGGCAGTTGGGAGGGACCAGGCCTGAAAGGGAGGGCAGTTGGGGGCGACCAGGCCGGCAGGGGAGGGCAGTTAGGCATCAATCAGGCTGGCAGAGGAGTGGTTAGGGGCAATCAGTCAGGTGAGTGGTTGGGAGCCAACAGTCCTGGATTGTGAGAGGCATGTCCCAGATTGGAGAGGGTGCAGGCTGGGCTGATGGCACAAATTTCATGCACCAAGCCTCTAGTATTATATAAATATATATATACATATATATGTGTGTGTGTATATATATGTATATATATGTGTGTGTGTGTGTGTGTGTGTGTGTGTATCACCTTTTTAATCCATTCATCTATTGATGGACACCTAGGTTGTTTCTAAACCTTGGCTATTATAAATAATGCTATAATGAACCTAGGGGTGTATATATCTTTTGAATTAGTGTTTTTGTTTTCTTCTGATAAATGCCAACAAGTGGAATGGCTGGGTCAAATTGTACTTATGTTTTTAATATTTTAAGGAACCTCACAACTGTTTCTGATAGTGGCTGCACCAATTTACAATCTCACCAACAGTGTAAGAGGGCTCCCTTTTCTCCACATTTTTGCCCTTTATGTTTTTAATTAACAAAGATTCCAAAGAGCTTCACTTTATGTGATTTATGTCTATTGATATTTATTATATTGGAATGAAAACAAGTTTCTAAAATAATTATTCATTAATATAATTTTTTTAAAAAAAACAGTAAAGTCGATGCATGTTTAATTATATTTTATAAAAATTTTTAAAATGTCCAAAAACAAATTGTGAGAATGGTAGCATTGTTTTACACTTTCATAAATCTCTTCAAAATCTGGCTTAAAGGAAGACACTTAGATTCAATCTGTTGTGAAATAACTCATTTTGTAGCTTCTGGAACATTTCACTATACTCGTAAGGTTTCAAGTGAAAAAAAAGACATATCTTAGTATAATTGTGAACCAATGAATTAGCAAATATTTATAAATTATAAAGCATTTCTCAACTATCAGTGAAGCTTTAATCACATGCATATTTTCTCCTCAAATTTTCAGCAAACCTTATGATGACTAGAACAAAACTTAGCATAGCCTTATAGATAAATATTGGTATTTCATTTAGGTATTTAAGAAAATCAGTTTTCTTTTGAAAGTTCATTTCTACATGGTTTGACTTTGGGGTAATAACAGTTTCTCACAGAAACAAACTAAATGGGTAGTAGATTCACCACTAGATTATAGAAATCACATGTTAATGAATTTATTGAATTTATTTTACTAAATGTTGTCTTAATCTTTCATTTTCCACTCATTTCCTCTGTTCTTCCCCCCCCCCCCCCTTAGAGATTTTCTGTGCAGAACCTGGAATAATAGAAAATGGAAAACGCACGAATAGCTGGAGGGTTGTATTTGAATTTAATGAAGTAGTGACTTATACTTGTGACCCTTCAGATGGACCTCAGGAGTATTCACTTGTTGGAGAGAGCAAGCTTTCTTGTTCTGGGCCTGGCCAATGGAGTAGTGACCCTCCTCAATGTAAAGGTAATGATATTTCCATTTATTTCCTTCTTCATTTGTAAATACAGTGGAAACACTTTGTAGATAGTTTTACCTATAAGTAAACAAAGAGTCATATGTGCTTCCTCCTCCTGTTAAATTGACTTTTAATTTATGACAAGTTGAGACAAAAATAATTCTAGTTGTAGGAGTCCCCACCTCCAACATGTTCTTGGCACTTCAGTTTATACAATGTGAACTACTGTGTACATGTATGTTAGGGTTTTTTGCTTGGAAGGACCAAAAACTAAACACACACTGGCTAAAAATAAGTTCTTTTTATATTAAAATGTCTGAGATATATCACAATAGGTAATGGTGGAATAAATTGTAAAAGACTGACTCTCTTACTGAAAACAATGATAAACTCTGTACACACATTTTTTTAAATGTTTAATTCTTTTTTTAAAAATATATTTTATTGATTTTTTTACAGAGAGGAAAGGAGAGGAATAGAGAGCTAGAAACATCGATGAGAGAGAAACATCGATCAGCTGCCTCCTGCACACCCCCCACTGGGGACGTGCCCGCAACCAAGGTACATGCCCTTGACCGGAATCGAACCCGGGACCCTTCAATCCGCAGGCCGACGCTCTATCCACTGAGCCAAACCGGTGCTGGCTGTACACACATTTTTAAAAAAAAACAGTGTTTAAGGCATTAGGGAGTAAATTCAAAACAAGGTAACAGAATAATAAAACTAAAATTCAATGAAATTGAAAACATATAATAGTACAGAAAATTCAGTGAAACTAACACCTGCTTCTTAGAGAAGATTGATAAAATAGATATACCTACAGCTAGAATGACAAGTAAAAGGATGATATTTATTATCAAAATCAAGAATGAGTCCAGCTGGTGTGGCTCAGTGGTTGAACATTAACCTAGGAACCAAGAGGTCATCAGTTTGATTCTCAATCAAGGCACATGCTTGGGTTGCAGGCTCAAATTCCAGTAGAGGGTATGCAGGAGGCAGCCAGTAGGTCATCAATGTTTCTATCTCTCTATCCCTTACCCTTCCTCTATCTCTAAAAATCAATAAAAACATTTTTAAGTGAGAAGAGAACACTGAATATCCTGTAGATGTAAGGAATAATGAATAATAAGTCAATATTACAAAAAACATTATGCCTATAAATTTGACAACTTAAATGAAATTGACAAATTCCTGGAAAGACACAAATTACTGGTGTCCACTGATAGATGAATGGATAAAGAAAACGTGATACCTACACACAAACGCATATGCACATACAATGGAGTATTACTTAACAATAAACAGAATGCAATCTTGCCAATGGAGACAACATGGTGGACATATGTAAAGGGTATTATAAAAATGAAATCAAAAAGAAAAGACAACTATATGATTTTACTTATATGTGGAATCTAAAACGACAAAACAAATTAACAAACAGAAACAGAGACATAGATACAGAGAACAGATAACGGTTGCCAAAGGGGAGGGGAGTGAGTAGAGGGGTGGGTGAAGAGAAAATACTGAGTGCGATGAGACTGACCTTGAATCTTCACCCAGAATTTTCACTAAAACACTTTTAAACATGGGACCATATTTTTTTAAAAAAAGGACTTTGTAACTTCTAAACCCTGCTCTGCCACTTAGTTGGATTAGCTTGGCTAAGTTTACTTCTCTAAGGCTCAGTTTTCTTGTTAGTAGAATGGTATTAGCCCAATAAGGTGGTCCTATGATCACAGAAAATACTTTTTTTAAGACACAAAATACCAAAACTACTGAAAGATATAGGTAACCCGTATAGTCCTATATTTATTAAAGAAAGAGAGTTAAAACCTTCCCTCAAGGAGAACTGCAGACCCAGATGGCATACCTGGGGAATTCTACCAAACATTTTAGGAACAGACAATAGCACCTCTACACAAACTCTTCAAGAAATATAAGAGAAGGGAATACTTCTCAACTTATTCCATAAGGACAACATTAGAGTGATACCAAAACCAGACAAAGATATTGCAAGAAAATTACAAACAATAGCCTTAATAAATATAGAACCAAAACTTTATACAAACAAAATATTAACAAATCAAATCCTATCATATATAATACAAATAATGCATCATAACCTATTAAGATTTATCCCATAAATGCAAAGTTGGTCCAAATTTAAAAATTAATCAGTGTAATTTATAATATCAAGAGACTTCAAAGAAGAAAACAACATGATCATCTTATTAGATGCCCCCAGAAAACAACTGACAGAACTCATCACCTTTTCATAATAAGACTTCTGAGCAAACTAGAAATCTTAACTGGATAAAAGGCATTTATAGAAATCTTAGAGCTTACATTAATTTTAATGGTAAAAACTAATTTATTTCTTCCCAAGGTGGGAACAAGGGAAGTATATTCGCTCTCACCACTCTATTCAGCATCCTACTGGAGGTCCTACAACAAGGCAACAAAGAAATAGGCTATATGTATGAAAGGAAGCAATAAAATAGTCTCTAAACTTATGACATTGTCTGTGTAGACACTTCCAAAGACTTTAATTTTAGATAGGTTGTGAAAGAAAAGATCAACCTGCAGAAATCAATTACATGTCTATATAATACTAACAGCCAATAGAAATTGAAATTTTACAATTGCTGTTTAGAGCAGTGATGGCAAACCTTTTGAGCTCGGCTTGTCAGCATTTTGAAAAACCCTAACTTAACTCTGGTGCCGTGTCACATATAGAAATTTTTTGATATTTGCAACCATAGTAAAACAAAGACTTATATTTTTGATATTTATTTTATATACTTAAATGCCATTTAACAAAGTAAAATCAACCAAAAAAATGAGTTCGCCATCACTGGTTTAGAGCATCTCCAAAATACATGCGCATAAATCTATCAATATATGTGAAAAGATGTGAATGCTAAAAACTACTAAGCACTAATAAAGGAAATTAAGAAAGACCTTAATATATGAAGGGACATACGTTGGTCATCGATTGGAAGACACAGCACATACGTTGGTCATCGATTGGAAGACTCAGCATAATAAAGACATTAATTCTCTGTTTTTGATGTATACATTTGGCACAATCCTGATAAAAAGCCAAGCAGAACTTTTTGTAAATTGATAAACTGATTCTAAAATTCATATGGAATGACCAAAGAACTAGAATAGTCAAAACAATTTTGAATGTAATTGAAGGATGCACTCTCCCGGATATCAAGAGTCTATATAAAGTCTACTATAAGGTATAGAGCTGTATAGGACAATGGAACAGAATAGTGAGTCCAGAATTAGACCCTTGCAAATATGTCCAGTTGATTTTCATCTCAGATATGCAAACAAAGCAGTGGTAAAATGATCCTCTTTTCAAAAATGGTACAGGCACAATTTGGCTTCTATATGGGGGGGCGGGAAGGGGGCGGGGGGCGGGGTAGAACCAGAACCTATGTAAGCACCATTCGCAAACATTTACTCAAAATGGGTCATAGACTTACATGTAAAACCTAAAACGATAAGACTTTTACAAGAAAACTTAGGTATTTGTGACCTAGCCAAAGGCTTCTTAAATACAGCCCACAAAGCATGATTCTTTTCAAAATTTTAACAAATTAGGTGTTCCAAACGCAAAACTTCTGGTCTGCAAAAGACTAAGAGAATGAAAACAAAGCAACAAATAGAAAATATCTGCAAAGCACACATCTGAGAATGAACTTGTGTCTACAATATATTGAGAACTCTCAAAGCTCAGTAAGAGAACAATACAAATTTTTAAAATAGGCAAAAGACTATAGCTATTTCACCAAACATGAAATACAGATGACAAAAAAGGAAATGAAAATTTGCTCAATATCATTAGTAATTATAAAAATGCAATTTAAAAAAACCCCACAAAGATGCCACTAACCACCTTGTTAAATGTCTGACATAAAAACAAGTCTAAGTATTAACTTCCAACTTTATCTCAGCCCTGTGTGTTTATGTAATGGTCTACAACCTAAAATTAGTTTGTTTTTTATCTCTAGGTTTCAGTCTAAAATGTTTGGAAAACATGGCCGTAATTCCATTGGCCTTTCTGTTTCTTGGACATCCCAGTTCATATGTGATGTTGCCACCTGAGAATATTTTCTTTGCATATCTTTGCATGGCTAGCTTCTTTTCAACTTTTAAATTTCAGCTCAACTATTTTCTTTTCAGGAGAGTCTTTCCGGCCTTTTGAAACATATCATAATGAAACATATCACAGGGTATCATAATCAGCGTTAGCATGAAGTTTTTAAAAATCTTTAGAGCTAACGAGTATCACAAGTGGCATTTGAACTTACCCAGAATTTGTACCTGGTAGATTTTCTCAAAATTTGCCGTAGAAAAAAATGTATGGAAAAAAAAAATCTATAATAGTGGTTCTCAACCTTGGCTGCACATTAGAATCACCTGGGAATCTTTTTAAAATCCTGATTTCTGGGCCTCATCCTCTGGAAATTCTTTTTCTTTGTTATGGAGTGGAGCCACAACATTAGTAACAGAAACAATTTCCGGAGGATGAGGCCCAGAAATCAGGATTTAAAAAAGATTCCCAGGTGGTTATAATGTGCAGCCAAGGTTGAGAACCACTGATCTATAATGACTGTTTGTTCTAGGTGGAAAAAGTTAGATTTTTAAAATATTTTTTATTGATTTTAGAGGGGGCGGGAGGAGAGGGGGTGGGGGGGGGAGAGAGAGAGAGAGAGAGAGAGAAACATTGATCACCTGCCTCCTGTTCGTACTCTGACCGGAAATGGAACCTGCAACCTGGGTACGTGCCCTGACCAGAATCACGCCAGCGACCTTTCGGTGCATTGGATGATGTTCAACCAACTTAGCCACACTGGCCAGGGCACATAAAAAAGTCTTTTTTAAAAAATTAGCATCTTGTCTTTCATTTCTTCTCTTTCCACTGGAAATTTCTACTTTGCACTACCTTTTCTAGCACTGGGTTAAAGCAACTTTCTATTAATTCTGAAATTTCTCTGCTTCTTAGTGGTACAGTGTGAACCGCCAGTACTCAAATATGGAAAACCACTGTCAGAAATGAAAGAAAAATTTTCCTACAAAGATGAGGTTGCATTTGAATGCCTGAAGGGTTTCTACCTTAATGGCAGCAACCCAGTGTTCTGTGGTGGAAACAGTACTTGGGAGCCTGAGATGCCCACATGTATTAAAGGTACATATTATATCTTTTCTTTCTTTTTTAAGGTTTTATTTCTTTGACATTAAATATCAGTGATACACCATAATTGAAAAGAAGCAATTTTAGTAATTAACTATCTTGTATTCCTATCCATGACGGATGTATGACACAAAGTTCATATAGACTTTTGCTGTTGTGATTTTGTATGTGTTCATAGGGTTCTTAGCACATTATTATGTGCTAAGCATAATATATCACATAAGTATATAAATATATAAGTATATATAAGTATACTTATATACTTTATAAACTGATTTATAATTATAACTGACCACTTTATAATTTATAAATTATATAAGTATATAACTAAGTATATCACATAAGTATATAAATTCATCTTGTTCGTATTTTTATGTATAAAAACGTTTAGTAACCTTTTTTTGGTATAAATTTAATGAATTATGGGAATTTTTACCTAAATAAGAATGGAAGTCATAATTTATTTTTTTAATATATTTTATTGATTTTTTACAGAGAGGAAGGGAGAGGGATAGAGAGTTAGAAACATCGATGAGAGAGAAACATCGATCAGCTGCCTCCTGCTCACCCCGTACTGGTACACGCAACCAAGGTACATGCGCTTGACCGGAACCGAACCTAGGACCCTTCAGTCTATAGGCCGACGCTGTATCCACTGAGCCAAACCGGTTAGGGCAGAAGTCATAATTTATATAAATGAAAAGTGATCATTTTCAATTGATTGATCCTACATTATGTTTTTCAATGTCATAACCTATTTTAAGTCATATTTATATTTTACAAAAATTGTTTGAATTCATGTTAACACTCATTCATCACTTTTAGTAAAAGGAGAAAGAACATATTTATAGCCATTTTGATTGTTATTTTTACTGATTCTAAAATTATTTGCCATATTCCACAGATATAAACGGGTATGTATACTTGGGCAAGTTATTTAAATTTCTAATGTATTTGTTTACATGTAAAATGACTTAATGCCTTCCTAACTGGGTGATAATACAGCTTAAATTGGTTGCACTTAACCCACTTAGCATTAATGCCTGGCATTTGGTAGCCTCTTAAAGGAAGTTCACATGTGACTTAATTGATATTAGAGAAGAGGAAGATCTGTGGCGTTTGTTTTCTAACATGTATGCCTTTTGTGTCACCAATTTTGCTATTTTATTTATTTTTAATATATTTGTATTGATTTCAGAGAGGAAGGGAGAAGGGGAGAGAGATAGAAACATCAATGATGAGAGAGAATCACTGATCGCTGCCTCCTGCATGCCCCACACTGGGGATTGAGCCTGCAACCCGGGCATGTGCCCTGACCAGGAATCGAGCCGTGACCTCCTGGTTCATAGGTCAACACTCAACACTGAGCCACGGAAGCTGGGCTAACTTTGCTATTTTAATTCATTTGCCACATTTAAAGGTATCTTCTTGGTCCAGGACTGTGTGTCATTCCCAGACTGCAAGTTCTTTTTATACAGTACAATTTGAACTGGGAAATTTCTGTTGTCTCTAGAACAAGACTGGTGTTTATACTATCTCATACGATTATTCTTTTTCTCTTTACTGGGCATTTCTCTGTGGTAACAGAAACTAAATTTCATACCAACTTAAAGGCAGGAAAAGTCATTATGTATAGAAATGAAATGGAGGATTTCTTGCAGGGACTACTCAACCACTCAGCCTAAGACTTGAGTGATTATTTTCATGCGGTGGAAGGAGTTGTCTTCCTGATTCCAGTGCTGCTATCTCTGGCTTCTCTTTGGTTTCAGGAAAACCAAGAGACAAGGAATAGTGGGAAAAGCACTAGCCTGGGCTGACCTCACGCAAGGCCCTAATTTGGTTCCACTTACTCATGGAACATCATTTCTGTGGACTTTAATTTCCTATTGTTTAAAGAGGGTGTTGAACACAAATCTCAATCACTGGCTTCTAATTTGCTTATTTTCTGTTGTCCTAAGACTTTAAAGAATTGAGGGGAATTATACATGTTAACATGGTAATTAGAACACCTTTTTATAATTCCTGTATACCTGACACCTGGTAGTCTCCTTGAGTATCTTAGTTGAGTGCTGTGAGGTTGGGGGTGGGGAAGAGATGGTTTTGGGGTGGATTGATATATAAGATTGCATGTGAAGTTTATCTCATTGGCCCATCCATGTTTACCTGCATGGTCCTAGTGGGTATGTGTACTGTGGGATACTGTGCTTGTTGATATGCTCTTTTGAAAGAGTTGACCATGATAACTCATGAAGGACTTATAAAACACATATAGTTTAATGTTTGAAAGAAGAGCAGAGAATTGATGTGAGAAAAAGCGTATGAAGAGAAAAATGACAAGGATATTTTTTATAAATCATAACTCCCCATGGTATTATTAATTAATTTTTATTATTAGAGAAAACTATAAAAAAGAACCAATAGCAACATATCATGGTGATAAAGTAGATCTGATTGTGCTATGAAAAAATGTTCAAGAAATATTAAGCAGAAGAAAAAAGCATACAAATTATTTGGTTTGATACTACTTAGATGGTATATTTTAAATACATATGTTTACTCGGAACACAATATTTTTATGATTTGTTTTTAGTTAACTTCTAAGGTTTTCATTATAAAATATAAAATAGTAGTGAACTTTTTTATGTATGTACCTGTGTAAATATATTTAGGTCATATTCTCAGAAGTAGAAACCCATAGTTTGGAAAGTATCCATATTTTTAACTTTGAGGAATAATAAATCTTTCTGGAAAATAAAAAAAATCAGCCCTGAGTGGTTTTGCTCAGTGGTCAGAGGGTCAGCCCTGGGATCGAAGGGTCATGAGTTCAATTCCCAATTAAGGGCAGCTACAGTGGTTACAGGTTCCTTAGCCCTGATAGGGGCGTGTGCAGGAGGCAACCAATCCATGTTTCTCTTTTTCTCCCCCTTCTCATTCCCTTTCACTCTCTCTGGAAATCAATGGAAAAAATATCCCCAGGTGAGAATTTAAAAAAATCAAATCCATATTTTTATTAACTGATGAATGGAATAAAATTTATTTTTCCAGGTTTCAAGCCTACTCATCCAACCAAACCTCCACTTTCAAGATATCCAGGTTCAGTAACTCTTTATCCTACTTCTATTGTTAAGAACTTTGTATGCTGATGGTGAAAAGTATTATCTTCTTTTAATTTGCATTTCTTTAATTATTAATGAGGCTGAACCTTTTTTTGTCTACATTTATTTATTCATGGCCTTTGCTCAGTTTTCTGTTAGGTTTCTAAAATGTTTTTTGTTGTTGATTGTGAGAGCTCATTACAAGTTAAAGACCTTTTAATATATAGTGAATATTTTTCCAGGTTTTTTTAACCTTAATTTTACTAGTTCGTTTTCTTTTAATATTTTTATACTATACTATTGGATATAGATTCCTTTTTATATCTTTTGTTACATGAGTAGTATACAAATGTATTTTGTATATTTTCAAACATTACAAAAATATACAGAGCAAAAAATTAGTTCATCTCTTTTTCTAGTTCATTGTCATTATTAGTAATTTAGGTATATTTCTATTCATTTCTAATGTATAAGAATACATCATATCCTTATAATGTTATACATATTTGGGCATTTTTTTTCTTAACTAGAAATAGAATCACATTGTTCATACTTTTCTAAAACTCTCACATTTTACACTTACTATCTTAGATTGGGATTGTATTTAGATTTATCCCCATCCTTTTTTAAAGACAACTTTAATATACACCATATTTTAAATAACTATTCTCCTATAATAGTCCGTTATATGTGCAAAAGTTTCATATTAATAGGCAGTTGAATGTATTGATCTTTTCACTAATGGCTATGAGTGTTGTCTTTCTTATAAAAGCTTTAAGTCTTCAAATTATATAAACATTTTAATCATTTATTCTGATTGCATTCTTTACATTTAAATCACTGGTATATCTGAAATTCATTATGGAATGTGGAATTAGATTATGTTCTCCACTCTACCCACCCCAATTCAGTGGCTAAGTATCACCATCTATGGAATAAATTGTCTTCTCTCCAACTGTTTTATCATGCACTAAACTCATAGGTGTTCTAGCCTCCTTTCTGTTCCCTTAACTCTATTCCTGTACTAACATCAACTGGGTTTTTTTAAATGTAGTACTATAATATGTTTTAATATCTGGCAGAACGCCTCCTGTTTAGAAGTAAGCAGGCTACTCTCATGTTGATTTTTCCAGATCAAAATTTATTTTATTTTTTATCATTTCAACCATTCTAAGTGTACAATTCAGTGGGATTAAATACATTCGCATTGTTGGGCAACCACCCAAATTTTTCCTTTCCAAACTGAAACTTTAGACCAGTGATGGCGAACCTATGACACGCGTGTCAGAGATGACACACGAACTCATTGTTTTGGTTGATTTTTCTTTGTTAAATGGCATTTAAATATATAAAATATCAAAAATATAAATCTTTGTTTTACTATGGTTGCAAATATCAAAAAATTTCTATATGTGACACAGCACCAGAGTTAAGTTAGGGTTTTTCAAAATGTTGACACGCCGAGCTCAAAAGGTTCGCCATCACTGCTTTATACCCATTAAATAGTAACTCCCCATTCATATCCCTCCTCCCTGCCCCAGTAACTTCTATTCTAATTTCTCTCTCTCTGAATTTGACATGCTAGGTAACTCACAAGTGGAATTTTACGTTTTTTTTTTGTTTTGTTTTGTTGTTGTTTTTTTTAAATATATTTTTTTTATTGATTTTTTACAGAGAGGAAGGGAGAGGGATAGAGAGTCAGAAACATCGATGAGAGAGAAACATCGATCAGCCGCCTCCTGCACACCCCCCACTGGGGATGTGCCCGCAACCAAGGTACATGCCCTTGACCGGAATCGAACCCGGGACCTTTCAGTCCCCAGGCCGACGCTCTATCCACTGAGCCAGACCGGTTTTGGCTGGAATTTTACATTTGTCTTTTCTGTATGGCTTATGTCATAGAGCATAATGTTTTCAAGTTCATGCACCTGAGAGTAGCATGTATCTGAACTTTATTTCTTTTTGTGGCTGAAAAATATTCCATTGTTTATATATACCATATTTTGTTTACCCATTCATCTGTTAATGGATACTTGGGTTGTTTTTACCTTCTGGCTATTATGAATATTCTTTCCTGAATATTGTCATTCAAGTATCTGCCTGAGTCCCTGTTTTCAATTTTGAGGGCATATGGCTAGGAGTAGAATTGCTGGGTTTTATGATAATTCTGTGTTTCATTTTATGGAACAACCATACTTCCACAGAAGCTGCACCATTTTACATCCCCATCAGCAATGCACAAAGGTTCTAATGTCTCCACCTCTTTGCCAACACATGTTCTTTCTGTTTGTTTTTTGTAATAGCCATCCTAATACCTGGGAGGTAAAATATGTGAAGCAGTATCTCACGGAGGATTTTGTTTGCATTTCCTCCTTTATTAGTGATGTGGACACATCTTTTTGTGCACTTATTCCCTATTTGTATCTATTCTGTGGAGAAATGTCATTCAAGTCCTTTGCTCAGTTTTGAATTGGGTTGGGATTTTTGTTATTGATAGTTAGGAGTTCAGTATGTATTTTGGGAATTAATCCCTTACCAAGTATATGAGTTGAAGATGTTTTCTTCCATTCTGTGGGTGGCCTTTTCACCATTGATAGTGTTTTTTGATGCACAAAAGTTTTTAGTTTTGATGATACCCAGTTTATTTTTTGTTTGTTGCCTATGCTTTGGATGCCACATCCAAGAAATCATTTTAGTGCATGTAAATGCAACTGATTTTTGCATGTTGATTTTATAGCCTACAATTTTGCCAAATTCATTTATTAGTTTTATCAGCTTGTGGGTATGTAATTTTTAGAGTTTTTTACATAAAAGATCATGTCATCTGAGAGATAATTTTATTTTTTATCTAATTACTCTGACCCAAACTTCCAATATTATGTTGAATAGAAGTGGCACATGTGGACATTCTATCTTGTTCTAGATCAGTGGTTCTCAACCTTCTGGCCCTTTAAATACAGTTCCTCATGTTGTGACCCAACCATAAAATTATTTTCGTTGCTACTTCATAACTGTAATGTTGCTACTGTTATGAATCATAATGTAAATATCTGATATGCAGGATGGTCTTAGGTGACCCCTGTGAAAGGGTCGTTTGACCACCAAAGGGGTCGCGACCCACAGGTTGAGAACCGCTGTTTTAGATCTTAGAGAAAACTGTCCGTATTTCACCATTGACTATGATGCTAACTATGGGTGTTGTTCTTTTTTTAAATAAATGGCCTTTATTATATTAATGTTTCTATTCCAAATCAACTTCTAGTTTTTAATTCCTCCTTTAAAAATTTTAGGTAGAATCATATTTCATTCAAGGCTAATTTGAGAATACAGTAATGATAAACTTGCTTGTTATTCCACACAGTATTGTCACAGGAAATTTCAGTGCATAGGGAAAAGTTTGCTGACATTTAGTATAAACTTTGAATATTTTATAATTCTATCTTTAATAAAAAATTTATAAGGAAATTATAAGCACTTTTATACAAATGTTAAAAAAATCAATGAAGTTATAGATCTTTAAGCTTTACTTAGTCTTTCCTTTTTAAAAATTATTTCCATTTTTTTTCTAGGATATCCCAAGCCTCTTGAATCACCACCAATTGAAGAGATTTTAGAAATAGGTATTTATCATGAGACCTTAGAGTCCTACATAAATATATTATGTTCCAATTATTTCAGGGTAGGGAAAAAAAGATGTCAAAAGTGATTAGTAGTAATTGACATTTATAGCAATAGTATGTGTAGACACATGTATGTAATTTTCTCTAATCTTGAGAAATTTAGTTGTCCTATTAATCTTTAACCTGGTGTGGTAAGTACAGCACAAAACAATGACAAGTGAGGTTCCTATTAAGGGTTTCACAAAACACATCCTATAGCCGGAATCTATCTGAAGTGTTCTGTAATCAAAAGGATTTGGATATACTAGCAGTCATGCTAAAACTAGAATGATACTTTTTTTGCTTTAGTTTTTAGATGATCAAATCAAAAGTAAAATGAAACTGCTATCTGGGACCCATACATGTTCAGTATCTTTAAAACTACTTTTCATTTCTTCTCAGATCCAGGAATCATTGCTCTACTTATTCTCACTATACGTAAGTATCTCAAACATGAATACCACTTAAAATATTACTGTGCTTTCTTTTCTAATGACTTTCTAATTTCTCTAGTGTTTATAGCTTAAAAAAAAACTGACCTTTCCATAGGATATGCACCTTTTGTTGGTGACTGTACATTCATTTATATTCTATATGTCCACTTAATACAAACCCTAATTATTTTTCAAGATAATTAGTTATATGACTTTTAATCTCAAGTGTTCTTCAGGTAATTTTCTAAACTAAACCGGACACTTTTCTGACTTACCGTGGATTATTCAGTGGTTCTCAACCTTCCTAATGCCGCGACCCTTTAATACAGTTCCTCAAGTTGTGGTGACCCCCAATTTCATTGTTACAAATTGAACATAAATAAAGCATAGTGATTAATCACAAAAACAATATGTAATTATATATGTGTTTTCCGATGGTCTTAGGCGACCCCTGTGAAAGGGTCGCGACCCACAGGTTGAGAACCGCTGAAAGTGATTCCAGGGAACTGCATTTAGATAGGGAAGAGTCCAGATGGAATATGAACGTATATGTGCTTAAGTATATTTCTGACAGTAAATTACTGTAACCGACAGTAATTTATTTTGCTAGAATTTGAAACTTAGATATTATTTTTGAGAGTTACATGTCATTTGTTTTCTGGTTTCTTATAGTTGTTGGCATTGCAGTAATTTGCACCTGTGTGTACAAATGTCTTCGCAGAGGAACAAAAGGGGTAAATTAAACATGTTTCTTCTAATTTATTTGTCCTTCTCACTCTTAAAATAATTTGTCACTTTTGTTTTTAAAATGTGCTACATTAGGGTACCATCCAAATTACATTTCTTTACTAAAATTATTTTCAGCTGCTTTTAATATCAATGCAACAAAAGTAATTGGTGCAGAATTATTTTAGGTATTATAGCTGTTAAATTTTTTAAGTTTAGGTTCTGCAGCAAATCATGGACCATGATGAGCCCTTTCCAACTCTAGGTATAGCCTATTTTCTAAAATGAGTAGTGGCCAAGATTAAATTTAAAATAGTTCACTGTTCTACATGCAGACGTGAACTATTTTAAATTTAATCTCTCTCATATGTGGAAGCTGGTGAACAAAATAGATCCACAGACATAGAATCATTGCCCTAGCCAGTTTGACTTAGTGGATAAATCTTCAATTCGTGGACTGAAGGGTCCCAGATTCGATTCCGGTCAAAGGCATGCACCTTGGTTGCAGGTTCCCCAGCCCTGGTCTGGGTGTGCAGGAGGCGATCAATGGATGTCTCTCTCCCACTCTTCCTAAAAATATCCTCAGGTGAGGATTAACAACAACAGACTGTTGAATCTCAGTGGGAAGGCAGGATTGGGTGAGAAGAGATTAACCAAAGGATTTATGTGCCTAGCCCATGGACACAGACAGTAGTGTGGTGAAAGCTGGGGAGGGTGTCAGTGGGGAAAAGAACAAAGGGGAAATCTACAATAAACAAATTTTTAAAAAAACAAAAGTTTAACCAAGGAGTTTTGTACTCAAAAAAATTAAGACACTCAAGAGAGAAATTGAAAATGGTAAAAATAAATGTAGCATATACCATGCTTATGGATAGAATGAATAAACATTTTTTAAATGTCCATAATACCAAAAACAATGTGTTGATTCAATGCAATCCATATAAAAATACCAATGGCATTTTTTTCAGAGACCTAGGAAAAATAATTTTAAAACTTATATGGAATAACAAAAACCACAAAGAACCAAAGCAATCTTAAGAAGGAGAGCAAAGTTGGAGGTGTCATGTCACCAGATATCAAAATATACTGTAAGGATATGGTAACCAAAATGGCATAAAAACTAACACATAAATCAATGAACAGAATAGAGATTCCAGAAATAAGCCCACAGCACATATATGTAGTCAGTTAACTTCTTTTTACAAAGAAGGTAAAAATATACAATGGGGTAAAGTTAGTCGCTTCAATAAATGGTGCTGGGAAAACTGGATACAGGCAAAAAATGAAATTAGACCACTTTTTACTCCCTATATAAGAAGAATAAACTCAAAATGGATTAAAGACATTTAAGACTCAAAACCACAAAAAATAGAAGGAACCATAGGCAGTAAAATATCAGATATATCTCTTAGCAAACTTTTTTTTTTTACATAACTTCTTAGGCAAGGGAAACGAAAAAAATAAACTAAAAAGATTTTACACAGCAAAGGAAACCAACAAAATGAAAAGACAAGCCCACTGAAGGGGAGAACATGTTCACCAGTGAGGACATACAGGTGGCCAATAGATATGAAAAGATGCTCAATGTCATTAATCAAAGAAATTCAAATTAAATCCACAATGAGATAGATAATCAACTCGCACCTGTCAGAATGGCTATCAATAAAGCAGCAAACAAGTGTTGGCAAGGATGAGGAGAAAGGGAACGCTTGTGCACTGTTGGTTGTATGCAAATTGGTGCCACCATTTGGAAAACATTATGGAGTGTCCTCAAAGTTAAAAATGGAACTGCCTTATGACCCAGCAATCCCACTTCTGGGAATATATCCTAAGAATCCAAAAACAACAATCAGAAAGAATATATTCACCCCTATGTTCATAGCAGCATTATTTATAATAGCCAAGATCTGGAAACAGCCCAAATATCCATCAGTGGATGAGTGGATAAAAAGCTGTGATACATTTACACAATGGAATACTCCTCAGCTGTTAAAAAAAAAAAAAAGCATTATGCTAAGTGAAATAAGCCGGTCAGAGAAAAACAAGTACCATATGATTTCAATCATATGTGTAATGAACAAAATACAGTGGGGCCTTGACTTACGAGTTTAACTCAAATTACTCTATCAACTCAATGCAAAAAATCGGCCGAGAGACAGCTGGTATCTCAAAAAACTCGTTAGTCGGGACACTCGTAAGTCAAGGCCCCACTGTAACAAAAACAGACTGACAGCTGTCTGAGGAGAGTGGGGTTGCAGGACTGGTGAAAAAGGTAAAGGGATTAAAAAAGAAAAAAACCCTTATAGACAGACGAAAGTATGGCAATTACCAGAGGGAAAGGGAGATTTAGGGAAATAGAAGAGGGTATATGGGCATAAATGGTGATGGATGGAAACTTGACTTGGGGTGGTGAACACACAATACAATATACAGATGAATTGTACACCTGACACCTATATAATGTTATTAACCAATGTCATCCCAATACAATAAAAAGGAAAAAGGGTTAGGGGCACTATTGGAAGTATTAACCTAATAAAACACACACCTTCCTGAATATCAAAAGAAATGTTCAAAAGCAAAGAAAAATAAACAAATTAAGAAATACAGTAAATGTCACCTAATAAACATTGTCACTCGTCTGGTGTTGCTCAGTAGTTGAGCATCAACATATGAACCAGAAAGTCATGGTTCCATTCCTGGTCAGGGCACATGTCTGTGGTTATAGGCTCAATTCCCAGTGTGGGGCGTGCAGGAGGCAGCTGATCAATGCTTCTCTCTCATCATTGATGTTTCTATCTCTCTCCCTTCCTCTCTGAAATCAACAAAAATATATTTAAACAAAATTAAAGCCCTAGCTGGTTTGGCTCAGTGGATAGAGCATCAGCCTATAGACTAAAGGGCCCCAGGTTCCATTCTGGTCAAGAGCACATGCCTGGGTCATGGGCTCAATCCCCAGGAGGGGGTGTGCAGGAGGCAGGTGATCAATGATTCTCTCTAATTGACCTTTCTATCTCTCTCTCCCTCTCCCTTTCTCTCTGATATCAATAAAAATATATTTTAAAAATAAACACAATTTTGATATGACAGAGTTGAGACCAAATTTAATAGTCCTCTTAGTAATGTGAAGGAAGTTGTCTATTTTTTAGAAAAATCATTTAAAATGGCTCATAAAGCAAAATATAAATCCATTCTACATATAAGATACTTAAATTGCAGTGATTCAAAAAGCTAAAAGTAAAAAGTTGGACAAAGATTTACCAAGCAAGTGAAGACAATAAGGAAACAGGAGTTGTAACTCTAATAACAAAGCAAATGACCTCCTGAAATTAAATGCGTCAGAAAAGAACACTTCATAAGAGTACCACACTCCACAATGAAGATATGATAGCTCAGAATATCTATGCAACAAATAAAACCACAAGCCATCTACATAAAACAAAATCTATAGGAGATACAATAAGAAAACAGCCTTTGAGATTTTAAAACACCATTCTTATAAAACAGGTTAAGTGGACAAAAATTAAGCAAAAATATAAAAGTTAAATGAAAATTAAAAGGTAAATCTTCTACATATATATACACTATACCCTGAGAATAATATATCTTAAGTGCACATGAACTGTTCACAAAAACTGTAAGTATAAAGAATACATCAGTAGTTTCCATAAAATAGAAATATTATAAACAATATTCTCTATTCACTATGCAATTAACTCTAGATATTGAAAATGAAACCAAAACATAAAAAAAGCCCTTCCCAGTGGAGGCGAGCCTGGCCCGTGAGG